GCTCTTTAGAAGGTACTCAACAAGGGTTGTTACTTTGGTCCTGACGAATAGTACAATATGACTTCAAGAGGCCAAAATGGGATCCATTGATCCAATTTTCAAAGATATAGTCCAAAGTTGCACTGAAATGCTGTAGGGATTTTTTTTATTCATATATAAGAACAGATGAAAGAAAATAATTTTTTAAGCAAACTCTGCAGCAATGTTCTTTAGGAGGGAGTTAAATTTTTATTACTTTAGTCCTGATGAAACGCCTACATTTGCTATTAGGTAAAGAATCTAAATGAGCAAGTCAGGTTCCGAGAAGCCTCTTGTTTAAATTTGCCCAACCAAATATGTACACATTTTTTCTATTTAGTCGTATGTATTTCTATGATGCTCAGTCTATTTAGAGGTCACGTACATCTCCACTAAACCACACAATTATACACAGAATATTCGAGAATGAAACATTTGAATCTATCTAATGTCATTCCGAAGTCGCATATAGTACATAATAGGGCTTTCAGTCGTTAAAGATCAAAGGGACATTCAAGCACATAAGTCGTAAATAAACTGACAACGCCATGGCAAAAAAGGAAAAAGACCAAAAGACAAACAACAGTATACAAAACACAACATAGAAAACTAAAGATTGAGCAGCACGAATCCACCAAAAACCGGGGGGGATCTCAGGTGCTCCGGAAGGGTAAGCAGATCCTGCTTCACATGTGGCACCCGTGGTGTTGTTCATGTAAGTACAAACACGGTGATAGGTCTAATTCGGTAGATCACATTCAGGGAAAAGGAGGATGGGATTGTGGTTGCGACGATTGGAACATATCTGTCGTCATCTGTGAAACAGATATTCCGTAACAGTCAACCAACATGTGATGGCGTCCGTAAAATTTTCGACTGCTGACTACTGGACTGGTGATTCCTTGTGGACGAACCGTCTACCAACAGTTGCATCGAACTTGTGGTTGTAAAAACACCCAAAAGATACCGGTGTCCGAGTGGTCTAAGTAGTCCAACTACTGTATCACTAGCCTGCCAACACTGAGGTTGTGAGTTCGAACACCACATGTGGCAAGTGTGCTGAACTATCTTTATTGACTAGGATTGTCAGTTTTCCTGCCGAAGGTCGGTGGTTCTCTCTGGGCACTCTGGCCTCCTATACCAATAAAAACTGACCACAATGAAATTGCCAATAATGCTGAATGTGGCTAAACACCAATCAATCAATCAATTTTACTATTGAGAAATGAGAAATTCACAATGGGAAAACATTTTTTTTAACACTTGGTTTCTGTCTCATTGTCTAGTGCCTGCATCTCCTTTAATTCACATTTTAATTACAGAATTTGGTAAACAAAGATAACAGAGTCAAGGGTGAGCGACATGTGTGGGACGTGTACAAGCATTAAAAGTGAGGCGTGAGATACCAAAAGGATTTCAAAGTCATAAGTTGAAAACAAACTGACAATGCCATGACAGAATACAAAACACTACATAGAAAACTAAAGACGGAGCAACACGAACTACACCAAAAACTGGGGATGATCTTATAATTAAGAATATATCTACTAAAATATTGTAGGATAAACAAAATGGCTCACTTTTTCAGTAAGGTCTAGATCACTCACCTGCTGATAGAGCACCTGCTAATAAAGCACCATCCGCTGGCGATATGGCACCTTTGAATTGCCTCCTTTTGCCCAGAAGCTCAAGTTTTCAGACACAATTTGAAATATGGGTTTACTAAAATTTCACATATATATTTCATAATCTAATTATCTTTATGCCCTAACTAATATAGAAAGGAAAATTATGCTTTACTCTCCTTGTGTTGTAACTGTTATAGGAGGGGCGAATAGTGGGATAGTATGAAAGTACCATCAGATGTAAATTGGGATAAAACAAAACATTAATAAATAGCTTTTATATGAACAAAGCAAAATGTCTAAAATGCAAGCTCAGCAGTTAAACATAACTCATTATATATATATAGAACTGACCTTAAATAACTGAGCGATATAATTCTGATCCTCATAAATTGACATGATCGAAACCTTTGCACTTCAGTATCAATTGACCATGACTGTGAGAGTCCAGGCTTAATCTTCATAGAAATAATGTGTAGATGCTTAAGCATATTACTGTTACTCATCTTCAGTTGGAGTTGGTCCTGATAATTTTACCCATCAATAAAATTTATGAATGGTATTATGATGTGAATGTGTACCAAACATCATTGACCACGTCCTGTTAAAATGATATTATCACCAGTTTTTTAAACTCAAAGTATCAGCAAACAGAAAGTAGGTGTTTGACAGATCAAAGTCCTAACATGTTACCACTCATCACTGTCGAGATGCTGACCAAAACGATAGCCATTCTGTCCAGTAGTACCTGAGAAAAATGTGACAGAAATATTTGTTGGACAAACTGGCAGACAGAGGGACAGACAAGGTGAATGCAGTATTGCCCAAACTCTTAGAGTAGGCATATAATAGGACAACAAGGCACGAGACATTTAACCACGTAATAAATCGTACATGAGCATTTTTCTGTTCAGTTAAATTCACTGTGGTCATGAAACATTAAAAATAAATGCAGTGAAGATCTAATTGTTGAAATTTTAGGTCCAAACGCTGACGCAAACAATAACCTGATACATTGTATAAACTCACAGGCTGACAGACATCTGATATAGGTTATATAATTAAGGACATAGGTTGGCAAAAATCTGAAACATTGAGGATACAGGATGGCATACATCTGAAACATTAAGTATACAGGCTGGCATACATCTGATAGGTTAAGGATGACGGTTGGCAAACATCTGAAACATTAAAATACACAGGCAGGCAAATATCTGATAGGTTAAGGATACAGGTTGGCAAACATCTGAAACATTAAAGATACAGGGTGGCATACATATGATACACGAAGGATACAGACTGACATACATATGATACATGAAGGATACAGGCTGACATACATCTGATAGTTTAAGGATACAGGTTGGCAACTTCTGAAACATTAAAGATACAGTCTGGCATACATCTGATATAGTAAGGATACAGGCTGGCATACATCTGATTTAGTAAGGATACAGGCTGGTATACTTTCGAGTCATTAAAGATGCACAAGAACACAAGATGAAAGTCTGAAATGAAAAGAACAGGTTTGAAATTAAGAGTTTGTACTGTCTTTGTGGTAGGACCAAGAAAAATGTTTATATCCAGCCGAATTAAAGGGAAGACATCAAAATCTGTACGAGTTATTTCCATTAAATTTTTTACACATTCAAAATTTAAAAACATATTTTGGAAAAAAGAGTGGAGTATACTAAATTTTAGTTGTCTCATGCTTTAAACTTTTCAATTGAATGATTGTGCAAAATTTTGTATTTAAATATACAAGTAACACTGAATCAGATTCAGAATAAAAAATCCAGTGAGTTTACTAAATTAAAATTTAAAGTCCAAACCGGGAACAAAACCTGATGCAAACAATAACCTGATATATATATATAGTATAAACTTACAAGCTGACATACATCTGATACGTTAAGGATACTGATGTTGGCCATCATCTGATATGTTAAGGATGCAGGATGGCATATAATCTTGTTCAAGTATACATATTAAGATGCAAGTCTGAAAAGAAAAGAACAGAACAGATGCTTATAAACTTTAAAAAAAATAATAAAAAAGGGCAGCAGAAATTATTCTAAAGTAGCGTAATAATATGACATCGTCAAAAAACTTTTTGGATAGCTGCGATTTATGCCCATTTCACATTATTTTGTATATAGAAAAATAATTGTAGCTACTAAAGCACTTCACCAAATGTTTCCGGAATATCTCAATGTATTTGGATATGTGCATCAGGTTAGTTCTAGAACAACCAGACAAACTACTCGAAATATACTTTTTGTTCCAAAAAACTAAAACTGATTACTATAAACGCTCCTTGTTGATATCTGGAAGTATTCCATGGAACAATTTGTCTACAAATTTAAAACAATGTAACACAATTGAATATTCTAAATACATATATTGAAGATTATTTTAGTAACAGTATTATAGCTTAATATTTGTATTAGTATTTTTATTATTGAATTTTATACTTTATGTTGTAATATAATATGTATATAATGCAGGACCATATTGTAAACTAGTCTTTCGACTAAATGAATTATCCTGTTGAAATAAAGGAAATTATAATTACTATTAAATTCGACTGACTTAGGACTAAGACGTTTTCCTATGACCATCATAAGACACGGTCCGTGGTTGCTATTTCTGTGAGTCGTATTATGTTAAGCTTGTCTTAGTTTTAACAACAGAACTGACGGTGCATTTTAACAGATGATATGTGGGCCTCCCACCACCGCAATTTCCTGATACTGTTTTAGTGAAAATATTTTCACTTCCTTAAATAGAAAAAAAATATAGCATTGAAGAAATTTTGAATAAGTTTGTACTAATAAACTATTAAAGTGATACTATAAACGTTTTATATTGAAACAGTTAAATACAACACACTCCGAGGTGTTTATCAAAGGGGATGCTATGTTTTTTCTTTTTTTTTTCATGACATTTTTATGGTGCCTATAGGGGGAGGGGTCATATCAACAGGTGATGTTATAAGTAAAGAAAAGGTTGATAGAGACACTTTCTATGGTGTTCATTTTGATTTGTTTGATTTAATTGCGATATTTTTTTGTTGTTATTTGTTTGTTTTATGATCTTTTATATCGTTTATTTCGTTTTTTTTTAAATATATTTTGGGCACTTTTTGGGGTAGTGTGAGTCGGTGGTTGTTTTTATTTTGTTTTTGTTTTATTTGTTTTAAAGATATATATTCAGGTTTACGCAAGGAAAATATTTTTGGGGATTGTTTTTAAAACGATAAAAAAATATTGTGGGGCCTCATTGTTAATTGGTTATTATTCGGAGATTCATACTTTCCCAGACCCTACTTAGTCTATTCTGTTAATATTAAAACTTCCGGTTTCAGTTTCACTTTGGAGTAGAATTGTTCAAAGGTAAATAGTAAACAGTAAATATGTAAGCATGTACTCCTTATTTTTGTAGTTACCGTAAAATCTGTTCGGATCTTCATTTTATATAGAATAAATAGACATTGGTTGGCAGCCAAATCAGAAAATTGCTACGTAATTAAAACCCCCAAAAAGATTAGAGTTTAACTGGGACTATTATAGACCATTATAATCGCATTATACTAATAGCAGGAACATATATATTGTCAGATATACTGTTCCCAGCTAATAGTTAGTCCAAATAATTATGACGTCTTAATAGGCTATTTTAATTTTTTTCCGTCATAATTATTTGGACTAACTAATAGTAGTATAGTCCCAGAGATTAGTTACAAATGGACAAACATGGCTTTGTTCTAATCTAAAAAATTGGAAAAGTTCTAACATCCCCCAGATATATAAAAGTTAAATGCATTTTATGTTTCAGAAAGATAATTTTTTTTTAGAATTTGATGTTTTTTTTTTCCTCACTGGATATGATGGTAAAATAAACAAGCACCTAAATTATAATTGATACTGCCACCAAGGTTAGTCTTTTCACCACTGAATACCTCTGCACACCGCTGAACACAACCGAACACATTACAATACCATATAACATACCTAGATATATTGTTTTCATCTTTATTTATATATTAAACGTACCTTCTGAACAAGGATGAATATGTTTATAAAATATATATACAAATTAATAAGAGATGGCAATCAGATATAAACCAAAAAGTAGTCATATAATGGATGTTGTCAGAACAGTACACTTTCAGTCTAACATTTTTTTTTTAAATACAATCATGTGATAGTCTCACATTAAATAACATGTTTTAACTTATTTGAACAATTTATTTCTAATGATTTCTAAGTAAAGACATTCATGACATTAGGATGATATACAATGAAATGTGTACAATGTAAATCTGGAAAATAAATCGATTGCTCGGAACGTTTTTTTCTATATTTTGATTATCAACTTATACATCAAAATAATGCACAAACATATGAAAAACAATAATAATATGATTAAATTTTATGTAATTTAATCTATTTAATAGTTGCATTGTGTAATATTACTGTTATCTTTAGGGGTTAGTGGTCTTTTGGGGTGTTTGGTGGTGTTCGGCGATGGGTGCAGGTGTTCAGAGATGAAAAGACAGACCCCTGCCACCAAGGACGTATAACTAATATATATATACATCCTTGCTGTCACTCAGTTACACCCTTTAAATCACCTTTTATTGTGTAGATATCTATTTTCCTTCTATTGTCCATATCAATCAATACAATACTATTGTTACCTTAGAGGCGCATCTCAAAGAATTAACCCAACTTAGTTTATTTTTACACCTGCAGGAACGAAAAAAATGCTCATCAAAATAAAAAAAAAATTTATCTTTCTGAAACACTTAGTGTATTCAACTAACTTTTATATATCTTGTGGGAAGCTAGGCATTAAAACTTTTCCAACTGCACATGTTTCTCTGTCCTCAGAGTTCATTATTAGGTGTAATCACAGCCATTTTTGTCCATTTGTAATGATGAACCTAATTCACAAATTTGTACAGTTAAAACATGTAATCTATGGTCATATGGAAAAGATTCAAAGACAATGGATCATAACTGTGGGGGTGAGGCAAAATGATGCCCATGGAAAATAGATGTGCTAATGCTTATACAATTGCCCACCCAATATCATTGACTTGCCATTAGTGGTTTCTGTTGAAGTGACCTTATGATAAACTTAAAACATTTAAACTTGTTTTAAATTTCAAAGTCAAGGGACCATGACTGAGGGGAATTCGTAAATGACCAATTATCATTAATTTTGCGCCAATTCTACTTATACAACTGCCTACCAAACATCATTTGACCTTCCATTAGCATTAGTGGTACACTTAAAATGACCTACAGACATACATCAGGGGGTTGTCTCTTTTTTATTTACTTTTTTTAGGAATGGGGGTTTGTGTGTGTGTTTTTTTTTTTTGAGTGTTTTTCTTGTGGGTGGGGAAGGTAGGGAATGATGATTTTGGAGGGCAACTATATTTGGGGATTTTTTTTTTATCTTTTTAAGACAGTCTTCAGGATGGACAGTGAAGATAAACTTCAGATACAGAAGAAAGATCAGAAGAAGTCACCAGACAGAATAAAGAGGCCTCCCATTCTCTCTCCATTGAAGCGTCCACCATCCCTGAGATTAGTATCACCATTTGATAGTGATCAAGAACTGAATGACCTTGAAGTAGCTTCAGTTTTAGCTGATGGTAATATATTTTGGGTCTTAAAGTTGAATCAGTACTTGAAGATCATAAAAAATTTATAACTTTGAAGTTGCTCAATATAAACAGATGATAAACTATTGGTGGCCTTGAAACTGCTTCACATAAGTAAATGATGATAATATCAATTTCTGTGATGTTTCTGTACTACAGTCATGACATTAGTATTAGAATATATTCAAAATATTGATGATCTTGAAGTTCCTTTAGTATTAGAGCATGCACCTGGTTGTATTATTGTATGCATGTGTTATCCTCATTTTTGTTGTGACAGCTACATTTTACTCCATTTTGTCCATGTTGATATTTGAGTGTTCCCATATTTATATATGTTGCTCTAAGTCTAGCTTTTTTTTTTGTTATGTTTTAGAGTACTCAGAAGATGATTCTTGTATATCACCGACAAAGAAAGCAGCAGATGCATCCAGGGTATGATATTGATATAAGTTCATGTTATGTGTAATATACTTATATGAAATGTTGTGAACAGCCAGGAACCATCCTGCATACAACAGCCAGTTGTTTGTAGCTAAGGAGATTCAAGGTAGTCTACATATCGACACCAACATGTACAGATCAGTGCTACTTATCTCAGTGTCCAAACTACAATGAAATGTCAAACCAAAGTATCCTAGTAAATGATGGAGTTAGTCATGAATAAAAAGAATATGTTGGGTGAACACCAATGATCAGTTAAAAAAACACCTCTATAAATCCATATAATAAAAAACACCTCTATAAATTCATATAATAAAACAACACCTCTATAAATCCATATAATAAAAAACACCTCTATAAATCCATATTATAAAAAAACACCTCTATAAATCCATGTAATAAATAAAAACAAGAGAGAACCCGCTGAAATGTCTCGCCTGCTTTACTGACCATTGATTTTATGTTTATTAAGTTTTTATTACAAGTATCACATAAACTTAACATTTTTATATGCCCGTTTACGGGACGTATTATGGTATACCGTTGTCCGTCTGTCCGTCCGTCGTCAACATGTCGGACATTAACTCAAAAATGCTTTATCCAATTTGCATAAAACTTTGGTGAATTGTTTATATCTATTGACATGAGCTCCCTTTCAATTTTTATAAATTTTAGATTTCACGTTTCCGAGTTATGGGGTTTTATTCATTAAAAAAGGGGGGATTTTCCAGTTTTCGGACAAAAACTCAAAAATGCTGTCTGCAATTCTTATGAAACTTTGGTGAATTCTTTGTATGTATTGATGTAAGCTCCCAATAGAATTTTATAAATTTTACATTTCTGAGTTATGGGGTTTTATTCATTAAAAAAATGGGTGATTTTCCAGTTTTCGGACAATAACTCAAAAATGCTGTCACCAATTCTCATGAAACTTTGGTGAATTGTTCATATCTATTGATGTAAGCTCCCTGTTTATTTTCATGAATTTCTAATATGACATTGAGAATAAATTGAACTTTATTTGTTTATAGTCTGACAACAGATTTACTAAGTATTGCACAACAGCAAGAAATCTTTAATTGAATATAAATTCATTTCATATAACCAATTTCAAGTTCTTTGACTACATTTATTCAGAAACCTATAATATGTCAAATATTTAATTACAATCCAAATTCAGACCTGAATCAAGCTTGAGTATTGTGTCCATTTTTGCCCCAACTGTTCAGGGTTGGACCTCTGCGGGCGTATCTAACTGCGCTCAGCGAAGCAGTTTATTAAAGATCCATGACAATGAGATCAAGGTCAGATAAATCCTGCCAGACAGACATGTACACCTTTCAATTATTCCATACACCAAATTAGTTGACCTATTGCTAATGGTAATTGAAAAACAAACCAAAACACAAAAACTAAACAACCATGAAAATGAGGTCAAGGTCAGATGAAACCTGCCGTATAATGAATTATTTTTACAAATTGTGACTTGGATGGAGAGTTGTCTCACTGGCACTCATACCACATCTTCTTATATCTATTAACATTGACCAATGAACCATGAACCATGAAAATGAGGTCAAGGTCAGATGAAACCTGCCAGACTGACATGTACCCCTTACAATCATTCCATACACCAAATATAGTTGACCCACTGTTTATAGTATCTGAGAAATGGACCTAATCACGTAACTTTATCCTTGATCACTGATCCATGAAATGAAGTCAAGGTCAGGTGGACCCTGTCTGGTGGACATGTAGATGTTGCAAGGAACCCATATGCCAAATATAGTTATCTTATTACTCATAATAAGTGAGAAATTCACATGAAAAAAAAATGTAGTTTTTTTTCAAGCAGTCACTGAACCATGATTATGAGGTCAAGGACAATGGACATATGACAGACGGAAACTTCGTAACATGAGGTATCTGCATACAGGGTATGAAGCATATCCAGGTCTACCTTCTGAAATATAAATATACAAATAGTTTACACTGCTGCCGTCGTCGGCAGAAAGTAATACCTGTCTCGCATACTGCAACTTTCATTGCAGGCGAGACAAAAACCAGGTACAAGAATAATTTCAATTACTGAAATCAAGCTCAAATTACCTATCCTGCTGACATGACATCATGCCACACTACACTCTTAAATTAAATCAGTTCCTAAAAATAGGTTAGCAATTTACTGAATATGTACCACTAGACAGTGGTGTAAATAAATGTGTAAACAATATAGACAAAAGGATGATATACAATTTAATGTATTGAGAGGAGATAACAATTATTTTTTGTATATTTATATGTTGGTGGTCATTGCTGTATATCATGACATTATGTTGACCTCCCAGACCATATTTGATATATCATTCATTCAGAGAAAACTGTACAAACCTTTAGAGATAAAGCTGAATATTTTTCCTTCATTTTCACAGTTTTTGTTTTCTTCTCCACAGCCAACTACAGTAATGACTAATTTACAGAGAGGCAATGTGCAGACAACTACTCCATTACCTAGATGTAAGTCAATTATAATACAGTAGAACTTGACTTCCGTGAACTCCATTACTAGATGTAAGTCAATTATGATACAGTAGAACTTGACTTCATTGAACTCCATTACTTAGATGTAAGTCAATTATGATATAGTAGAGCTTGACTTCAGTGAACTCCATTACCTAGATGTAAGTCAATTATAATACAGTTGAACTTGACTTCATTGAACTCATATACTTAGATGTAAGTCAATTATGATACAATAGAACCTGACTTCAGTGAACTCCATTATCTAGATGTAAGTCAATTATAATACAGTTGAACTTGACTTCATTGAACTCTATTACTTAGATGTAAGTTAATTATGATACAGTAGAACTTGACTTCAGTGAACTCCATTACCTAGATGTAAGTCAATTATAATACAGTTGAACTTGACTTCCGTGAACTCCATTACTTAGATGTAAGTCAATTATGATACAGTAGAACCTGACTTCAGTGAACTCCATTATGGAGATGTAAGTCAATTATAATACAGTTGAACTTGACTTCATTGAACTCCATTACTTAGATGTAAGTTAATTATGATACAGTAGAACCTGACTTCAGTGAACTCCATTACCTAGATGTAAGTCAACTATAATACAGTTGAACCTGACTTCAATGACCACTCCAAAGAATGACCACCTCAATTTCCCGACCATCATTTGATAGCATCGTCTTGTTTCGAAATGTGACAATTGATTTTGACAAAAAAAATTGCTAGCATCTCTGCAAGGTAAATGATATATCATAACTTCTGACTCCTTGCTAGTCTTTGTTAAATAAAATGCCTATATGTTTCCTTTATCTTTTTTAGATTTAAACTTCCACCAGATGGCAGCACAGGGGGAAATAAAACTGTTACAGCAAGAGATAAGTGATGGTTAGTTTTATTTTATGCTGTAAGAGAAACAAACAAACTGCTTGTGAAATTTTTTTTCTACTGCAGCTAGCACACTCCCTGTTGTCTTTTTTACCAAATATAGTAACAAAATGTTATTTCGTGGAATGTGGTTTTCATTTCACTTCACTTTTCTTCACAATCTGGGGCTCGTTTAGGGATGGAAAATAAGTATATTTTTGTTTAAATTTTAATAACTATAATCGTAGCCATGTTTAGCTTCAATATATTAAATATATTAGATCAAGGTCAGAAAAGTATTAATTAACTTTTTTTGTATTGACACTAAAACTGTTGAAGGACTTGGGAAACCTCACCCTTCCCAAGTTTCTAAGCCTCATTCAAAAAAAATATTTTTCTGATTTTGCCATATATTGTTTATATATTTATCCATCCAAATATTTGGACTACAGTTTTGTGAGGGAATCCTGATAGTTGATATATCAGAATGACATCATTTTGTAAGATGATTGAAATATTATGAACAATGGCAATTTCGAATGAGGTCAAATGTTATATCTGGGTGTAAGGAGTGGACCTATCTGATAAACATTGGTTTAAATTTGGGTAATATGATGTGACAATATCTAAAGGGAAAAGCAGGATGATGTGACTAATTTAAAAGAAATTGTAGGAGCAGATGTTAACAGGTGTGATGATATTGGTGGGTTGACAGCTTTATTGTGGGCTGCAGCTTATGGTCAACTGACCACTATAGAATTCCTATTAGAGCAAGATGGCGACCTGAATGCTGTAGGAGGTAATGGTGAGAACTGTCTCCTGTTAGCCAGTGCTGGAGGATATAAAGATATTGTGAGGATGTGCCTGCAGAAAGGACAACATGTTAATTATGTTGACGAGGTAATCTTGTTTTATTTATTCTACATCGTACTTTCACTTTGATTTGACAGGGGAATTTGTTATAAAACAGTAGAACTTGACTTCAGTGACCATTACCTAGGTTTGTCATTCCAGAAATGTGACTGTAACAGTCAAAATTAAAGAAATTATTATAAGCCTAAGGATATCACCCTACATTATTTTCTGCTTAATTCTGATTTAGTGCTTTCTATGATGTATTTTATTCTTCCAACAGTTTCAATATGCATATGATGAGTGTGTCTTGTGCTCCTGTTTACTTATATGCTGCTTCAGGAATCTTAGTCTACAAAGGCATTATGAATCTTATGATATTATTATTTTGACAGGTAGCTCAGCCTTGATCTATATTGCATGCAGAAACAGGCTGGTGTTGAACAGATTCTGAACTGTGACATATTTTTTTCAGACAGGAAGCACATCTCTGATGTATGCTGCCTACAGGAATCACCCAGGTGTTGTTCAAGTTCTGTTAGAGCATGGTGCTGATATGACCATACAAAATGAGGATGAAATGACAGCTATGGATCTGGCAGTAGGGCAGGGTAATACAGCAGGTATGAATTGAACTTTAAATGCAGGCAGTAAATATAGAGCTGTAAAAAGGTCATTTTATGACCATAAAGCTAGCAGTAAGGATTAAATCTGAAAATAATTCTCAACAATAAACACTAAGTGATACAAAGTTTGTTATTTTATAGTCCGAGATTGGTCTGATGTCTGACAGCCTTTTTTAAGGACATGCTGGGCTGGCCATTGGATGTCAGAGTGAAGTCCATATAAAAAACATGAAAATTACCTGACCAGACTTGGGGCAGCAAGTTTCTGTCTGTTAAAAATAGAGGGTTGAAGGGAAAACGTTTTAGTTTGTGCTACATGAGTAAGTACTTAAATAAAAGATACATAATTGTGGAGTAAAATGAATAAGGAATCAAAAACTGTAAACTCACAAATTATTGCGATTTTTTTAGAATGGACAAAAATGCAAGATTAATTATTGCGATTGCAGGAAAATATGTGTACAGATATGTGTATCTGATATCAGAATGCGAGTTCTTCTTATTGCAATACTCCTCCAGTCGCATTATTCGTATTAACAAGAGTGCACACGCTGAAATATCTCGCATTCTTTACTAACCATTGATATTATGTTGATAGTCCTAAATGAAAGCTTCACTACAACTATTACATAAACTTAACATGATCCAAGAAAATAAAGTCAAGGTCATATAAACCAAACGAGAAATACATGTACACCTTACAATCATTCAATACACTAAATATAGTTGACCTATTGCTTAAAGTTTCTAAGAAACAGACTTAACCAAGAAAACTAAACATTGACCAATGAATCGTGAAAATGAGGTCAAGGTCAGATGAATCATGCCAGGCAGACATGAACAACTTACAATCCTTCCATACAACAAATATAGCTGACCTATTGCTTATAGTTTAAGAAAAACAGACTGAAACACATAAACTTAACACTGAGCAATGAACTGTGAAAATGAGGCCAAGGTCAAATAAAACCTGCGAGACTGACATGTACATAGAAGAATATTTCCATACACCAAATATAGTTGACTTATTGCATATAGTATAAGAAAAAAGACCAAAGCTCAAAAACTTTACTTTGACCACTGAACCATGAAAATGAGGTCAAAGTCAGATGACACCTGTCAGTTGGACATGTACACCTTACAATCATTCCATACACCAAATATAGTAGACCTATTGCATAAAGTATAAGAAAAACGGACCAAAACACAAAAACTTAACTATAACCACTGAACCATGAAAATGAGGTCAAGGTCAGATGACACCTGCCAGTTGGACATGTACACTTTACAGTCCTTCCATACACCGAATATACTAGACCTATTGCTTATAGTATCTGAGATATGGACTTGACCGCCAAAACTTAACCTTGTTCACTGATCCATGAAATGAGGTCGAGGTCAAGTGAAAACTGTCTGACAGGCATGAGGACCTTGCAAGGTACGCACATACCAAATATAGTTATCCTATTACTTATAATAAGAGAGAATTTAACATTACAAAAAATCTTAACTTTTTTTTCAAGTAGTCACTGAACCATGAAAATGAGGTCAAGGACATTGGACATGTGACTGACGGAAACTTCGTAACATGAGGCATCCATATACAAAGTATGAAGCATACAGGTCTTCCACCTTCTAAAATATAAAGCTTTTAAGAAGTTAGCTAACGGCACCGCCGCCGGATCACTATCCCTATGTCGAGCTTTCTGCGACAAAAGTCGCAGGCTCGACAATAAAAACCTCGCAATAATTTCTGAATTACAGTAATGTATGATTTTATTTTCTTGGAAATGGATCTATTACAATTTCAAGACAGAAACTTGTCCCCCCAAGTCTAGGTCTGCAATTTCCATGTTTTCTATATGGATTGCCCTCTGATGTCCAGTCAGTTCTAAAAAAAAGCCATTAGATGACAGAGCAATCTCAGATTATTTACTTTATTACAAAAACTTTTTCATTCCAATAAAATGTAGAATACTATATTGCATAATTAATTTTATTTTTGGGATATCATTAGTTGATATCCTTTCACAAAATAAGCCATGACTAAATTTATAATACTTACGTACAGCATATCTAAATCCTTAATTGCCTATAATTTTTCACGAAATTACCCATTGTCATATTCAGACTGATTTGGCATGGGGGTTTCTTCGTTTAATTTTCTAAAGCACAACAGTAGCAATATAAGTTTTTATCACCATGCATCATCTATGAATTATAAAAAAAAATGTATCAAATCAACAACATTTGATCATAATGCAATCCAGGGTTTGAATTCATTACTTGATACCATTAAATCCATCTCCCAGCTTCACAAGATTTAAAAAGATGTCAAATTTCACTTAAAGTGTACCAGTGAAGAATGCAAAAGAAATGTTGTCTCTAGATAAAAGTTTGTTTAATGTTTGATGCATATTTCTTTATTACATACTACCATGTTCTCATTGCGTCTGATGTTTTACCCTTGAATACCCACATACAGCTGATACTTATAAAGGATCCCATTGGAAATTAGCTGTATGGCTTTCATGGGTTATCCGTGGTTTAAAAAAATATTCAGCATTGTTATAGGATATTGAAACTTCAGTGTTCAATCAAATGTTTTATGTTTTACTTTTTATCGAGTTATGATTTTTTAATCACAGATATATATTTTTGATATTTTGAAACTAATTATATTTTATCTTCTACAGTCCTTTTTGTTATTTCAGTTAGACAGACTATAGACAAACATATGTTGTCATTATTTGGAGAATGACAGACATTAGATAATATCTATGTTCTTACACTGTCCACACACAAACTAGGAACAATTTCTTGGTTAGGATAATGGATGTTATGAGGATGATGACAGTCAGCAATTACACGCTTACACAGTTACTGGTCCTGATAATATTGACATGGTTTCAAAATCAAAGGAAAATAAATGAGGAAGTTCAAACAAAATTGAATTGTATTAGTTCTTTTATTTCAAGAAATACAGAGATTGTGCAATTGCCAATGAGACAGGCACCCAACAAAGATTATTTAGGTGAACTTCTTAAGGTCTATGTGCAAATGCCAAATAAAAATCTTCTTAAGGAATATAAAAATAAATGTGAAGAATGTCCATGGGACACAGATGCTCCCTCTTGAAAATATACAGCAAATTCTGCATTTTTCAATTAACAAGGGACATAACTCAACAGCGAAAGTGACGCCATCCAAATTCAAACTTGATCTGTATTTGGTGGAAATAAGCATTGTGTATAAGTTTTATAATATTTGGTTGAGGCAAACTAAAGTTAAAGTGCAGAAACAGCAAATTTAGCAATTATTCCATTTATAAAGGGACAGAACATCGAAAACAGTAAAGTGACACCACACAAATTCAAACTTGATCTGTGTTTGGTGGTAATCATTGTGTATAAGTTTTATAAAATTTGGTTGAGGCAAACTAAAGTTAGAGAGCGGAAACTAATTCTGGGACGTACGGATGGCCAAGGGTAGAACTTAATGCCCCCTCTTAGGGGGGCATAAAAATACATTGGTTAAGGTGGGTGCCAGTGTGACACAGTTAACAAACATACTTCAAAAGAAACGTGGAAAAGGTAACACAGAATGTTGTATAGCAAGTGTAAAAGTAGCTCATGGTGACCTGAAAAAAACAGAAAATTATGCAGATGTTTTTGATAGGGTTGTTGCCAATTTTCTTGTCTATCCATCTTTTTGTATTTGATTATACCGGATACACTCATATTACTGAATATCTTATCCGTAGACCTATGATTATTATGAAAATAAGAAGATTTTGTATGATTGCACATGAGACAACTATCCACCCGAGACCAAATGACATAGTTGTAACTGAGTTGTAAGCAACTATTGTCTGTATTTTTAACCTAACTAACTACCTATATGTGGTGTTGGCTGAAACATAGCCTGATTTAATATTGGCTTCCATCAGCAACTTCATATGAAGTGATAATATATTAGTTTTCATATCTGCATCAAAATCACAAGTTTAGAAATATACAACCTTGTCAATATCTTTATGTTTAGTGCTATTTGAAAATTTGGTGTTCATGCATATCTTTGATTGTTTCTATAAAATCTACTCTCAGCTTTTTTAGACTTGGGACTATATACAGCTAAACATATATTTAAGGCACATGTCTATTGTTGAGGACTGTATGTTGCCGTTTAGACATCTTTTAGTCAAATGTTATGTTGATTTGCTCTTTTATTGACCTATACCCAACATATCCTCTTATTTAGATCATCTGATATGTACCGGTAAACAAAAATAAGGAGATGTGGTATGACTGCCAATGAGACAACTATCCACTAGTTATGAAATTGAAATCATAATGGATTGTAAGTATGCTTTATTTTATTATTTTGCACTTTTATGACTTGATTGTGATTCTTCAACAGCAGTTATTTAAATTTTCTGACCAGTTGAACAGTTTGATTTGATGAAACAAATTGCAATTTGGTCAGAATTTTAAATGAACTGCAATAGTTGGACAGCAACACTTTCAATCAAGTGACAGTATTAGTTGGAAAGCAGTTAATATCATTTCTAATTTTGGGTTGACTTGATAGTTGGAAAGCAGGAAATACCATTTCTACATTTAGTTTGACCTATAGTTGGGATTCACATACATTTAATAACTCTAGTTTTTACACATTTATTTTATTGTCCTCTGCTCTCCAAATCAGCACAAATGGTTAAGCTCAGTCACTTGTTAAAATTTAAACAAGTCCAATATAACTACACAAGAGATTTTTTGTTTACGCACTATTTTTCTGTTCCTCAATTTGAGGCCCATTAGGGATATTGACCCATATCACAAAGGGAATAGTGCAAATATTTTAACCACAATTGAAGAGATAAGCCCCTTCTACTGGTAGAACTTTAATCACAACCATTTCCAATGATAGCCTGAACAAAAAGAATTAATCTTCATCACTATTTCAGAATCTGTGACACTTGACCTGAGATTTTGTGACAGTAATTATTGATGTTAAACAACAATCCCTTTTGCATTGATGCTACAGACATTTTCTCTTCTGACCTCAAAATTTAGGGGAACATGTGTGATGACCAGTAATGGCTGACAAAAATGATAAGGTGTATTATGAAATGAAACAGTAAAATGTTAAGCTAATTCATACAGAGTCATGATTACTTCTATGGGTTGTACTTGTATTGATACACAAATGTTGGTATTTTGATATATGTTTTAACTCAAAATTAAACTACTACTTCTACATGAAAGATTCTTTTTCTGAATGGATATTTCTAAAATCCATTCCAAATATGTTCATTGATAGGTTTTTTATTCATCTTTGACTTGAAATTGGCTTAAAAGTAAGGAAACCCATTTATTGACAGATAAAATGCATGCATTAACAATATCATTCCTTTTCACACTGTTCTGCTTGTAATTACTAAGGCTGATACGAGTTGTTCTTTTAAAATTTAGGTTGAGTATATCAAATTTTCATTTGGACCTACAATGGCATATCATACAAGATGTATTCAATGATAAAATATCCTTTTCAGGATTTGTATAGTACAAGATCTTATGGATTGATTGTTCCTTGCTTAACAGAACTTAATGCACAACTCAACCTTAAAATGTAGGTCAAGGTGACTTTATTATTCTGCTGACCAACTGCTCCGAGAGAGGAAGCCAATATTAAACATACTACAAGTTGTTTTCTTGTTCCTTTTATTCATTCTAAGGCCATCAATAAATAAAATAATAACAAGGCTTTTAAAATTTTATATAGTAAAAATAAATATATAAATTTGTGTATAACAATTCACCCCATTAACCCTAACCAGTGTTTGTTAAGACTTGTATGCAAAATTGTTGGTCAAGTTTTACAGACTGAAATTGACCATGGAGTCCTTTGATTTTGTGAGAAAAAAAAAATTGTGTATTTTTTTTTCTGCAAGAGTAATGAATTTTGACACTGCTTCAAAATATGAGATTGTGGTTAACTGTTCACATGCAAGTGTCATTATTGTGTTATTATTATGGCTGAATATTAGATTTCATATTCATTGAATTATATCTAGGTTAAGAACAAGTGACATCTTTCTTAAAAAAAATATGGATTGTATATATCTTTTACATTTAGGAATATCAATTTTTCTAAAATTTGCCTTCACTGATGGAGTGTCATACCTATGTTTCCTTCTCTAATTTTTTAAAGTAGGGAGGAAACAATAATGACTCAAGAACATCTATCCTGCATGTGACCATGTGTAATATCTAATATTTACTGTTGCATTGTGCAGATATCATTAGTTAATCATTAAAGCAGCTAAACAGCAGTGATTGCTTGAACAATGCCAAATGACTTTTTTTTCAAGGAGTGTACTTTTAATACTGAGATCATGTTTTCATATATTCTATTATATGAAGAATGACAAGATAAAACTTGTTTGAAATTACGCACAAAAAGTACTTGGTAAATTTACTAGGGAGTAATTTCCCAGGAACTACATTTAACTAACGATGAAATAACTTCACCTCTACTATAAAAATATCTAAACCATTGGCAACTAGTTTATTTTTATTTTTTCTCTACTGTTTCAATTTCCTATTTTATAATAAGAATTTTGCTAACTGATTTTTAAAAAGACTACATGTAAACTAAAATGTATCCCTCATTTTGACAAAACCGGAAAAACCTAAAGGATTCCTATCTGACTGCATCAAACAATCACATTTATTCCTGTGCACACAACAAAACTAAAAATGTCCTTTATATTTTACAGATAAAATGCTCTGACTAGAATTAATATTTTTGTATCAATATCATTTTTCTATTGACAAGGAACAGTGGGGACATAAAAGAAAAAAAAAAGATTTTCTATCAATAACACAGTGTTTATTGTTTCCAAAAAGAACAATAAATCATGTCTATCCTTTCTCTTTTAAAATGAAAATTTAAAGATATTATAATGCCAATTTCAGAGACTGTTCATCTTTTTGTCCACCAAAATAAAATCTGGAAAATACTTTCAATGGATGTATCTATCTATAGAAAGCCTGCCACCACCATGACCAAAAGGAGTAATACAACATCAACAACTAAATTTAAGCCTATATATTAATATATCGAAATTCTGAATACAAACTAGTGTGTACTACAGCAGAAGGCCACTTTCTAGGATCATTGATTGAGTGTTTAGTATGGTTTATCAGTGGTCAGTTTAACTGGTGAAAGAAACCATAATCATATACAAGTTAACTAACAAACTCTACCACACATTGCTCAATGAAGTATACCTTCCATTTTTAAATAACTGGAGCAATTCTGATAGTTGTCATAGGGTAAAGTTATTTGAACAAATAGTTTTCAACTTTGAAATTTGGCTACCATGAATTACAAAGATATTTGGTAGTTTAATATAAAATTTTACAGCTGTAAAGAAAATTTATACAGCCATTATATTACATTATTAGAAATTCCATTCAAATTTTAAAGGAGAAAAATTTTGAGAATTATCAATAAAGGTTGACCCTGACTATCATCAAACTTTTGTTTTTATCTAATTCACCTCTTTTTGACTCTTAGCTCAGCTTGTGTCCCACAATTTGATTTTAGAATACAAAATATTTATTAGTAAGTTAAAATTAACCATTTTTATTTTCCTGAACAAATACCAGTATGCAATTTGTTTAAGAGGTATGTTTTTATTTGATTAAATAATAGTTAAAAGGAATAGTTCTGTTCTCTTAAAATACACATACATGTAAATGTATTCCTTAATATTAATCAACCTTCAACATTAGAAAAATCTAGCAATACAATAATATCATAGTTGCAGCATTTAGAAATACTGAAGCTGGACTATTCTATCACACACTGTTCACTACACAACACTTTAATACTGATTGATTTATTTACACATAATTATAAATAACTACATTGCACTCATTTGATGCTACAAGCACATTAACTTAAGGTTTATAATTGGTGATTTAATGGGGCTAACATTGCAAAAATGTACAGTTCATTATTTCAAGATCATATCTTGAATAATTTTTAACAGAATGAAAAATTGTTCTGTTACGGTTAAATTTCTTTTCATATACAGTTGTATTTCTATTCAAATGATGATCAATAATACATATAATTTCTTATAAATTTGTATTACCTATGCTTTGCGATAAAATATCCTGATAAGAAAAAATTTAAACGTTAAGCCAAAAATAGAATAATTTATCAATGTTAATATGGAAATGTGTAGTAGAGATCAGCAGACAATGCCTTCAAGAAAACAGCTGTAGAAAAAAAAGGGAGGTAACCATTTGACATGTGATCACAAGTAATTTCCTCCATACAGTATTGTATCTGATACAAACTGCATAACCTCTAGGTATCTTGTACAAAATATATGAAATAACCATAAATACAATAAAAACAATTATTAAAAATAATAAATTATCAACAAAAATTATTATCACAGACAGCAATATGTTTTTGGACGGAATGCTACTAAACACTTTTAATGTACATATGGTAGTATTTTGAAATGCATTGGAGGTGTGAAATTAACAGATATAATTTTATAATCTGAATGGAATGCCTTCAAGGATTTTAAATTATCAATGGTGTCATTTGGACGGAATATCAAAGAAGAAGTATTTTGTTATCAACAAAAGACACCAGTATTTGGATTAAACATCTTACTATAATGTTGAATGTAATCAACAGATGATTAACACTATTTGAACAAAATGCTTTAAATCTGATGGCAATTACCAAATAGAAGACATTATTTAACTATATTGGCAAAAGGCATTCTTATATACCTAATATAAATGTCTTCTCAAAATTGAAAATTCTCTGAAATTGCTGTTAAGATTAACCAAAAATATATTACATTTCTAGCTTGTTTATAATATGAATACTGGGAATAAATGTAGGAGGTCAAAATAACGTGAACAGTGATAGTTCAATTTAATGAAGACTATAAAAAGTATGATTTAAATAAATAATTGAAGTGTGATTTGAACTGCTGATGTTATGAGTATCCATTTTGTACAAGGTACAAATCATTCAGTAAAATGACATGAATCTGAATCTGAAAAAGTCTTCTTTATTAAAAATGTACATTGTGAGTGACACAAATGCCAGGATTCTAGAAGAATGAATTAATGTCTTCTTTTACGAAAAATGTACATTACAATAATCCTGACCATGTGTTGACTTATATAATAACACAATTAAATTGGGAATTAAACAACAGCAGTATCATTTTTTGAGGTTATCAAGGGAATTCATTTAGCAGTAATTTTTTATACAGCAGCACTTTATATTTGCATTGAACTTCATATGAACCAATCAACTTGTAAATATATGTAGCTAATCAGATTTTGTTTAATTAGGATTGGGTCTTTATAATTTCAACCAGTTAAATTTTTAAGGTATTATATTTTTAGTAGAATTTAATATGCAATAATTTTGTACATAAAAGGAGTAGGGGCAATAAGGCCCTTATTTGGCCCAAATATTACTGCAAATTAAAAAGTTATCATATATATTCTTAAATTTGTCCTCACTAGACTAACAAATTCTACATTTCTTGAGTTACCATGGCAACAAACTATGATGGAATTTGTATCTTTTGTAAAATTTCTTGATTTTCCTTGTTTTTCGTCAAGTTCAAAGTATATTTTAGATTGGCAAAGTATGAGCGCACCAAAGAAACAACTTTATACTTGGTGAGATTATGTCAATAGTTATAATAAAACTTCTCTTCAATTATTTTGTTGTTTCTTGGCTGCGCATGATATTTCCACAATGGAAATAACAATGGAAAACTGCATAAATTCTGTATTTTTCATCGTTTTCATGAAAACGGTACACATCATGATGTAAATGTGACGTCATCAGATAAAAAATCTTATGTTTTTCATTTATATTTCATGACTCTATGAATTTCCAAACATTATGTGCCAATTTGCAATAGTTATATTTTCTTGGGCCAAAACGGGGCCTTAATGCCCCTACTCCTTTTAAATGCAAAAACTATTGAAAGCATGCAATAATTATTGTGCTATATAATTCAACATTTGCAATAAGTTTGGCCTCTACAAAATAGTCATTTCATGAAAAACACCTGCTATACAAAATCTATAAAAATACAGATTTTTTTAAACATGCATTCTCCTCGGGAGATGAATTCGCTAAAAAATTTCTATGTCAAATACTTAACACATGGTTTACATAGAAAAAAACATTCTTATATCCTCAATAAATATCTAAACTTAAAATGTTCAGGCAAAATCATACTAATGTGATATATGTAATAAATAGCATCCAGGCTTTCCATTCAGACACAACCTGATTTATTTTCTGTCTCACACATTAGGCACACAAACTGCTGACTTTCAATCCATGAATACTGTAATGTTTGGGTTCGACGGAGGAGCACTTTGACTGAATCTCTTATCATTTATATGCACTTGCAGTGTTTTTACCAAAGAATGTGTTTCTCTCGAGAGAATGATTCTCTTTAACTATATTGACTCATAGTCTTTTTGCCATTGAGTGTATTTCTCTTTATTTATACTAGCAGACGGTCTAGTTCGTTCAATAGCTTTTAAAACATCTGTAGTAGTTATAGTGTCTAAACGCAGATGTAACTCTCCTGTTAAAATACAAAGTTACATATAATAAGAAGTTTTTTATGAAAATGTTATTATTGAATTCATTTTAAGGGCTGCTCCAGAATTAATAGTATGGGTAGGTCTGAAGGCACTTGTATCAAAATTTGAAGAACTGAACAGCTATAGGAAAAAATCTATTCAAATTTTATGCTGGATAAAATAAAGAGTGCCGTCAACCCCCCCCCCCCCCCCCCAACCCCAAACATGTATTTCAGGAGAACAGCCCTTAGGTGAAGTGATGCATTGATATATCATTTAATTTTTTTGCATATAAAAAACAATGTTTAAACCAGTAAAAAGAACTGGTTTTACTAATTTGGAAGTAATTAAGTTTCATCTAACACCATACACAATTGTTTAATACTATGTTGTTTATGTATAAAATGTCTATTATTTTTATCTTGATTATCATTATCTGTGCAATTGTGATTATTATCTTAAAAAAATTGTATGCACAAAAGATTAATGGGAGATTATAGAATTTTATGAATCATTTCTAATGTCGAAAGATACTTAATAAGAAATATAATAATTTTCATTGAACGAATTGTACAAATTAATTACATGAACTATATGCAAACATTTTTTTTTTTAATTTACCCCATGCCAATAAACCTCCTTGTGAAATTAACACTATCAACATAGAGAAGTTATTTTTAGTCCCCATACTGGTGATCTTCCACAAAAATACATGTGAGAAAAGCAACAAATTATTCTTTTTGTAAAAAGATATTTTTTGAATTGCAATTTGTGAAGAAAAGCAGGAAATAAGCATATTAATTCACATTAATTGTTTTATAGCAGAAACACTAGGGTTATGTATAAATCTGGTAAACTCTCAAATGTTCCTGTGTTTCTAGTAATTATATTAGATTCAAATTAACCTAATTTTACTTTTAGTAATAACTAGTTTTTCAGTAAAAGTTTCTATTATCCATACAGCAAAACACAAGAACAATTTTTGACTTAAATACCTATTCGATTATATTCAATTCCTGCAAATAGATGTAGCACCAATCTAAATGCACAAGTTTTCACATCTGTATACACCTTTATAAATGCATATGTGTACATGTGTATATACCTAACTAAATATTCATGTATTAACATGTGTACACATCTATCTAAATGAACATGTGTATGCACCTATCTTGATGTACATCTGAACACACCTATCTAAATGTACATTTGTATGCATTTATTCAATTTAATGTGTACACATCAGTCTAAATGAATGTGTATGCATCTATTTAATGTACACGTTTGTACATCAATCTGTATATTCCACTTTCTTTACTTGGTAAGTTATAGGTGCAATTAAAAGGAGAGTTCCAAGATAGTTGCTGTTTCAATTTGGAGGTTGAAAAAGTTGTATCACGTGACATGTTTCTATGTATCTGCCTGGCATTTTACAAAGGCGTATTAAGCAAATGAAATGATTTAAAAAGATTTCCACTGCAAAGATTTTTGGACGTTATGACTTTTGTGTGTAAAATGAAATCTTACACTGGAAAACGTTCTTACTTGGAACTAAAGTATTAATATTTTTTTTCTTCCATTCATGCACTTTTTCAGTTGGTATTTCTTTCTTTTTCTAATATTCCATAGATTTAATTTGTACCTGTGTGGCCAATTACACTGGTTTTGCTGAACTGATTTTAATAATATGTTCTATTCGCTCCCCCCCCCCCCCCCCCCCCCCCACTAATAGGGATAAAAAGGGGGAGGATTGAGTACTAAAAAATTGGTTTAAACCCCCACAGGTTCATGTCCTTGTCTCAAGTCAGGAACCTAGTCCATGGTTGTCTTAAGTCATGTCTTAATTTTGTGTTGGTATATGGTGTTGATGGCATATAGTATGTGTTATTCTATTAGATCTTGACATATTGAATCAACACATGTCTATTGTTGAGGACTGTATGTTGACCTCTAGTTGTTTTTTTTTATTTTGTTTTTGTTGTGCTAATAATTCTTTGACTTATACCCCATATCTCCCTATATTCATGTTTTGTGAACATTGTGTTATGTTTTGACAAAATGATCTTAATCATATATTTGCATCCAAACAAATAAATTCACCTGGTTCATTTTTCTCTAGTGCATCAAATATTTTTCTGACAGGTCTCATGGCAGCTTCTTTACATACTAACTTTAAATCTGAACCAGAGTAATATTCAGTTCTCTGTAAAGATGAAACATTCATATATGTAGTTTATATATATTTATTACATACTTGGCATTAATATGATAGTTTTTGCATATGTGTAACGAGAGGAAGTAAACTAGACATAAATTCACACCCAAACTGATAACCCATATCAGGGGCCTCTAATGTAAATAACTGGTCACAGTGCCTCTCACACAAGTTACTTCCAGTATTTCTGGTATTGTCTGTTTATAAATAATATCTGACACACAAAGACATGACAGAGGATGATCGGTTTATCAATGTTGCAACTGTGCTATTTGAGCAGTCAAATTGCATTGACTGTATATTCATATGTGATATACAGTCACTGACTGTATATTGCCTTGTTTATGATGTTGACCATATGTTTCCGTGGAGTTTTATTTATGACATCAATACAGATTACAGGTTTGCAGAATTTTAGGTCATCTGGTTCAAATTTTAAAATGATGGTTTTTATCCCAAATATATCATTTGGAACAGTTGTAAGATTGATTGAATGTTGGTTGCTTAACATCCAGTGGCAGTTATTTCATGCTTGTTCAGGACGAGAACAAATTAACAATAAATACAATAGGTAGGTCCTGTTATAGAGGCCATCCAGGATGAAGGTCAGGGATATTTGGACTGCCACTGGAAAATGAGGGTAAATTGGATTGGAACACAAATTTTGCCTTGCAACAGGCCACTTATGGACTACTCAAAAAGTTGTTGCATGGGTTCTTAACATGCAGAGAGCATGTCACTCTTTCTACACATGGCATCAGATTTAATGTCCCTATTCAGACCGGACGTGGCTGCGTACTTGTACATCCCACACAACCAAACGGATGCCCCACTTTGGCAAGGGTTTTCCTGCCTTTTCGAAGAAGACCTGTAGTGACCATATTTCCATTTCCATGTCACCCTTTAGGGTTGTAAGAGTTGAAGTATATAAAGAATAACCATACATTGTCTAGAAATATAAATTTCATTTTTACTTGGCTCAAAAAAGGTTAATACATGTTATTTGCCTCGTATAAAAAATTTGTCGAAAGTATATGATAAAAAGATTAATTGATGTCCTTTTCCATATCGGCCAGGGTGTTATCCATGGACCCATATTAGCCCTCGACTAACATCTTGGGCTGATATGGGGTTCTCGGGATGATACCCAAGCTGATATGGGAAATGCCATGTATTAATCTCTATATAATGCTTACATGTGACTGAGTGCTCTTGAAACTGGTATGAGACTAATAAAATTATTTGAATTTAACTGTTGAGTGTCCACTCTCATTTAGTTAACAAATGTTGACTTCTTTAAGGAAATGAAATGTTCAGCTGCCAATTAGCTATGCTGTCAAAACTTCATCTTTATTTTGATTATACAAAGATATGATGAGATTTTACTTATTTTTAAAAACCAAATCACCAAAATGAATTGTCATATTCAGTGAACAGGATTGTTGTTTTTCTCAGTTTTTATGTTTGAGAAACTTCAAACAATTTCCAAATTGTCATCACCAAAAGGGAGTTTTTTTCTATCAATTCTGACATTAATGTTTATTTGTTGAAATGAATATTCATTTTTCAACTAGAGTGCACACACTGAGATATCCCGCCTGCTTTACTGATCATGATTGAAATCTATGTTGAAACTCTTAAGATCAAGGTTTTACTACAGACATCACATAAACTTAATTGTATTATCAAGATTCATGAGAATAAGGTCAAGGTCATATGAACCAGACAGACATGTACACATTACAATCATTCGATACACCAAACATAGTTGACCTACTGCTTAAAGTATCTGAGGAAAGGACCTAATCAGATAAACTTAACATTGACCAATGATGGAAATGATGGCAAGGTCAGATGAACCCTTCCAGGCAGATATGTACACCTTATAATTATTCCTTACACCAAATATATTTGACCTACTGCTCATAGTATCAAAGAAACAGACCTAATCACAAAAACTTTACATTGACCAGTATATCATGAAAAAGAGGTCAAGATCAGATGAACCCTGCAGGCGGACATGTACTCCTTAGAATCATTCCAGGTACCAAATACAGTTGTACTACCACTTAAAATATCTGAGAAACAGACCTAATCAACAAAACTTAACATTGATTCATAAAATGAGGTCAAGGCCAGGTGAACCCTATTTGAAGGATATTTATACCATACTTATAAAAAGAGCTAACACTGCCACCACTGTATTAGCCTTTCTATGTCTTGCAGTCACAGGCAAGACAACTAGATGTGTCAGTACAATATGATGGCTCCTGCAGCCTTATCTCAAATGTCTGTCAACAGGAACGAAACACAAATTCCTGTAAGTAATCATTATAAACTGAAATCAGCTCCAGATCTGCAGGCCTTACATAAATCAAAGTGTTTGTAAGCACTGAAGGGTAAACATTGCTTTAATTTATTTTTGGAATGTATAATTGAATATTGCATATAAAGCAGTGGTTGTAGTTGATTCAACTACAATTCTGGACAAAAGGAAGATAACTCCAATTTTAAAAGATGACTAGCAATGACATCATTGATATTTTTAGAACAGATATTAGATTCCTACACCTTGCAAAAGTTATGTAATTTTTTTGACAAGTATAACATGAATATATGAGCATACATTACATTGATAAATTTCTGGAATTGTTCATGGATAGGATGTATAGAATGTTATGATCAATGTACTATATTTTGTGTATCTCAAAGGTAGTGATAAACCTTGGAAGATTTAGAAATCAAGTCAGTACCATAGGGTTTTGATTGCATTTCATGCAATCTTTACCCAAAAAGTAAGGACAGGTATATTTTTCATGAAATTTTCTTAGTCCAAGGGCAGTAATATTGTCAAAAGTTGGTCAACCAGAACAAAATAACATGGACCATTTTGTTCTGCCTAAAACTCCCCCAAATATTGTGAGTAAATACATACAGCAGCTAATACATCATAGTCTACATTTGATAACAGTTCTAATCCTCCTTCCTTAGGAACAACTACTGGTGGCAGATGAAATTTAAACATAGCTTTTCTTGCTTCTAATGTAGGTAAATCTACTATAATTCTTTTCTCCAATCTTCTAAGCATGGCTTGATCTAACTCCCTGAAAAAAAGATTATATTTTGAAATAAATGTTTAAAGATTTTCCACCTAGAGATGCTAACAGTTGTGTAATTCCTATTCCATATTTTAGAAAAAGAGTGCACAAGCTGAAATGTCTCACCTACTATACTGACCATTGATTTTATGTTGATAGTCCTACATATAAAGTTTTTCTACAAGTATCACATTAACATTTATGATCCAAGAAAATGAGGTCAAGGTCAGATAAACCAAGCCAGAAATACATGTACACCTTTAATACAATCATTCCATACACAGAATATAGATGACCAATTGCTTATAGTATAAAAGAAACAGACCAAACCATGGAAATTCTATACTGACCAATAAACCATGAAATTGAAGTCAAGGTCAGATGAACCCTGCCAGACAGACATGTAAACCTTAAATCATTCCATGCATCAAATATAGTTGACATATTGCTTAAAGTATCTAAGAAACAAAGTTAACCAGGAAAACTGAACATTGACCAATCAACCATGAAAATGAGGTGAAGGTCAGATGATACCTGCCAGACAGACATATACACCTTACAATCATTCCATACACCAAATATAGTTGACCTATTGCTTAAAGTTTAAGAAAAACAGACTAAAACACAAAAACTTAACATTGAGCAATGAACCGTGAAAATGAGGTCAAGGTCAAATAAAACCTGCCAGACTGACATGTACATCATAAAATATTTCCGTACACCAAATATAGTTCACCTACTGCCTACAGTATTAGAAAAACAGACCAAAACACAAAAACTTAACATTGAGCAATGAAACGTGAAAATTAGAATGCCAGTTGGACATGTACACCTTACAATCATTACATACACCAAATATAGTAGACCTTTTGCTTATAGTATCTGAGATATGGACTTTACCACCAAAACTTAACCTTGTTCACTGATCCATGAAATGAGGTCGAGGTCAAGTGAAAACTGTCTGACAGGCATGAGGACCTTGCAAGGTACACACATACCAAATATAGTTATCCTATTACTCATAATAAGAGAGAAATTAACATTACAAAAAATCTTAACTTTTAGAAAAATAATTGCTGTTCTTGTTTTTTTTAGGATTTTGATTTTGTTTTAGTATTGTCCTATGTGCTCCATGCGACACAGCTTCTATCGGTAGTCTTCTAGGTTATATTTTTGGAATAATACTACACATTTTTTTCTTTTATATTTTCTCAATTCTTTTGAAACTTCACATACAAGAGTCAATAATTTGATTGTCATGTCTAAAAATGTCAACACATTCTTTATTCAAGGATCTTGGAGATAAATTATCATATTTTATGTTGTAATCTGAATACATAAAGATATACAAATACATTAGGTGGTTACCATGGCAAATTAGAAGCAGCCAATAAGAAGACAAGATCATCTGTTTTAGCCAATCCATCCATCTGTACTAATAATTCAGTTTTCATTCTCCTGCTGCCTTCATGTTCACTGAAACACATATAGATATGCTATTACCTGCTAGACAAAGAAATACATACAAGACGTGTTGATTTCCTATAATATTAACATTTTTCTTCTTTTGTAAAGCTAATTCAAGAAAGGAAGTCTTGACAAGGATCTTAAATTTTACATATATTACATTTCATTTAATAAATTCTTACCTAGTACCCCCTTGAGATCCTCTTTGACTCATAATGGCCTCCAATTCATCAATAAAGATTGTAGATGGAGCATAAAATCTTGCCATCTCAAATAGCACCTGTGTAAAGTTAACAATTAAAATCAGTTTCTCATGATATTTTTACCATTGACATCAATGCCACACAACAAAAGAACTTTTTTTTTTCGTTTAAACAATTTTGTTGTTTATGGCAGATCTTTGGTAGTTCCTTGTAAATTTATTCACAAATTGTTTTGACTGGTAGTGATTTAGCTATTCAAATATGGCAGAATTTTGTCTATTTTTTTGGGGTTAAATTATGTTGTTCAACGAGTCTTTTAGGTTTTTATTGTTGCTATGTTGCTGTCTTACTGACGAATATAACCAAAATCTCCTTTTCTCCATATTTCCTGCATCCCCTGCTTCTCTTCTAGGATACTAATAATTATATAGTACACAGTTTCCATTGTAGCATTATGTTAGTAGGTGTTCCTGGTTAACTAACCTGACCATGTGAAGGCTCAGCAGCCGGTAACTTTTAGTACACACTCTTTACTTGATAAACAATTACTAAGTAGTACTTACCCTGACTAATTTTTCAGAGTCACCCCTCCATTTACTAACGATACTAGTAGCTGATATATTGAAGAAGGTAGTATGGCATTCTGTTGCTATGGCTTTTGCTAAAAGTGTTTTTCCTGTTCCTGTAAAAGGTATCATTATCCATAACTGTATCTGACAATACACTCAGCTGAACAAAGTTCTTGGAATGAACATACCACAATAAAATAATCAGTGGTGTTTACCAATGTTTTAAATCAAGTAATATTGTTACATCTCAAAATCCCTCTCTTTGTATGACTGAGTAGGGATAGAATAATGATTAAAGATTAAATAAAATTTGTTGCTAGCATTTCATATATTAGCCTCTTGTGATGTGCATCAACCTAAATCTTATCTATTTTACTGAAAAAACCTACAGGAAATTAAGGTCCATAATATTTTTTTAGGAACTGCATGACCAAGAGCAACAGCATTACCCTTTATAGCTGCACAACAGATTTCGAGGTGCCATAGACCTATTGGATCTTGTGCGTACCTATCAAAGTTATAATAGATTTTTAACCCTACCATTTTAATCAGTTTCATCTATGTTTTCTCCTTTTAGATTCGTTTGATGAATGAGTGTGTGTGTTTTGTTTTTTTTTGATTCAACCACAAAACAATTAGCCAAGGACATAATATTTTCAAAAGTTCAATATGAACTATGAATTTTGAAATTGCGGACATAAAAAATCAGGACTATTTTATACGATTTACTTTTTTCATTAAACTGATAATTGTTGATGAATGAGTAATTTGTCAGCATTGATATTGTGTGTTGTACTTGCAATCAAATCATCTGTCAGCTGATCTATTTTTTTCATATTTGAAATTCAATTAAAGGAAAGTCACTGTAAATTCCTAAGCACCCAACCAATAGTACAAAATAAAACAAACATGCCGAGTGATTACACGACATCCTCATAATGCTATGCATTGTCCGATTAGAACCTAAAAGATTTCTTGGTTCACCTTTTTTATTGTCTTGAATTTCAAAATTGAATGAGGTACAATGTCTCAAATTTATTTATTTCATTCAAAATCTCTATCTTCCTTGCAAGTCATCATTTTGAATTAAATGTGCAACTTATACACACTGCTTCAATCATGAGTTGTATCCCTCTTCTGTTTTTCAATGGCAACATCACTTAGCTCTAAAATCAGTCTGCCTGGCAAGACTAAGTGATTTTCAAATTTTTTTTGCTATTTCAAAAATTTGTAAGGGTTCCGCGGAACCCAGTGTCTCACCTACCTTTGGTGTTAATCGCAGGCTCAACAAAAATGAGGAAAAAAAAATCAATAAAAATATTCCTTTAGATACTATCTTTTGATTGTAAGAAGCTTCTGTCAAAGTTCGGTATAAATCCAGGATAGTTTATGAATCTAATAAATGTTTTAAAAACTTTAACTGCAGACTGTATTTAATGTTAACTGGAAGAAAAACTAAGTCCATTTATAAGTAAAATACGGATAAACAGGTAAAAAATTTAACAAAATTTCCTTCTAAATACTAGCTTTTGATCATAAACAAGCTTCTGTCCAAGTTTGGTACAAATCCAGGATAGTTTAAGAAAGTTATTAAAATTTTAAAAACTTTAACCACAGAGTGAATGTATTGTTTCCTTGCAGAAAAACTAAGTCCATTTATAAGTAAAATACGGAAAAAATGAAATTTCTTTTTTAACAAATTTACTTCTGGATACTATCTTATGATCATAAACAAGCTTTTGTCCAAGTTTGGTACAAATCCAGGATAGTTTAAGAAAGTTATTAAAATTTTAAAAACTTTAACCACAGAGTGAATGTATTGTTTCCTGGCAGAAAAACTAAGTCCATTTATAAGTAAAATACGGCAAAAATGAAATTTCTTTTTTAACAAATTTACTTCTGGATACTATTTTATGACCATAAACAAGCTTCTGTCCAAGTTTGATAGAAATTCAGGATAGTTTAAGAAAGTTATTAAAATTTCAAAAACTTTAACCACAGAGTGAATATTTGTGGACGCCGCAGACGACGACGCCGACATAATGTAGGATTGCTATGTCTCGCTTTTTCGACTAAAGTCGAAGGCTCGACAAAAATCATCATTTCACTAGCAGGATTATTATGTTTCTAATAAGTAAGTGTTTTTATAACAAACAAAAAAAGACCTCATCAAATCGTTTCGATCCATTTAGAAAGTACTTTAATATAGTACAAACCAAACAGTGTATATCTATAGAACGCTCAACCTATGTATTACCTGGAGGTCCATATAATAACAGTCCTTTCCATGGAGACAGTATACCTCTAAATAATTGTGGATACTGAAATAAAAAGTGGAAACCTCTCTATATAATTTAATCATGTTTAATTGTATATGATATATTCATTTTTTATTCCTTTTGCATATTTTTAAAATACATTTTGTACCAGAAAATCTTGTGTCAAACAGCACATTTTACTAATTTTATATTTCTATTGTATAAATTATAATTTAAAAATTTACCTTTATTGGATAAACAACAGCTTCTTTAGATAATCTTTTAGCATGATCTAAGCCTATAATATCATCCCACTTTACATCTATGTTTTGAACAAATATATCCTGCAAAAGACAAGAATCATGAATAATTTTTACCTTTTACTTTGTGAAAAAAGTTTATTTTTAAAAAGTGATTGTTGTTCATATCTAAATTGCTTGGGTTAGAATTCTGTTTGATAATAGGACAAAAGAAAAAAAAATGTGTTTCAAGTCACTGCACCAATGTTATAATCATGACTTATTTTTACTGCAAATTGTTACTATAATTTTTTTTTTAAATTCTGGTCTTTTTCTGACATTATAAAAGCTTACCTATTTTCATCTTTAAGAATTCTGTTAAAAAGTCCAAACTTCTGGTTACAAATCGATGACAGAAAATTGTTTCCTGTCTATCATACATTATTTACAGGGTCAAACAAGAGTGCATATCCCGAAGTAAAATTGAAAATGGAAAGCTGAAGTGCCTCTCCTGTGTAACTTATATGTTTGAACTATAAGTTGAAAGTCAATACTTGAAATTTAAGCATTGAAAAATGACAGAATTTTTTTCTGATCCTTGGATCTGACTACTCCAATTATAAATTGTAAAGTTTGTTAACAAAACCTACTGCAGTGTACATACATATAAAACAAGGAAATGTGGTATGATTGCCAAATAGACAACTACCCAACGGAGAACAAACAAGTGAATCTGTGAGCTACTGCTCACTAATGATACCCCCGCCCACTAAAAGTATAAGGTAAACAGGAAGTTGTTGAGTCATGAATCTGAAAACACATCACACGGTATAGCTGACTCATATAAACCCTGAAACTAAATTTCAGAAATCCTTGTAATGTAGTTCCTGAGAAAGATGCGACGAAAAAATATTCATGGGACAGACGAACGGACGGAAGGACGGATGGATGGACAGACAGAGGTAAAACAGTATACCCCCACTTTTTTAAAGCAGGGGTATAATGATGTGGATTGCATTAACTTTATACATTTAATTCTATTCAAGTTTACAGATATATATATATACAACTTACCCTACTTATACTTTGAGCAAGCTCTCTCCATTCACTATTGTACCCTACGTAACCACCTAAAGGCTTTAACAGTCGGTCCTACAACAACAAATCATAGCTTTAGGTATTTGATTGCACGTTTGGTACCTTCTTACTTTTTTTGTTTAGAGCAAACCCTGCATCCTTAATACCTTAAGGCTTTAGTCAATACATTAAAAAATAAACTGTTGACACATAGATATGTCTCACCTGTCACAAAAAACTTAGAAAAAGCCAATCTGATGGACAGCTACATTGATAATTTATTCAAAGTTGTTCAACCATGACCTAGGGGACAGGGCCTCGAAAAGATCAACAAACTTAGATGTAGATATATTAAAGCAACTTTATGCAAAATATCATTGCCTGTCATAAGGAGTTCCTATCAAACTAACTTGGGCAGAAAACTTAACATTGAAAAATTGCTAGTTAATTGAAACTTACTGGACCATGACCTAGGGGGCAGGGCCTTGAAATAGTATTCAAACTGATATGTTCTCATAGTAATTCAACTTTATAGAAAATATCATTGATCTATCACAAGCAGTTCTTATCAAACTAACTTAAGTAGAAAACTTAACATTGAAAATTGCTTATTAATTGAAAGTCACTGGACCATGACCTAGGGAGCAGGGCCTAAAGTTAGTCGTCAAACTGATATGTACTGATAGTAATGAAATTTTATACAAAATATCATTGATCTATCACAAGTATGTCCCATCAAACTAACTTAAGCAGAAAACTTAACAATTGTTAAAAAGCATCAAGATATAACTAAAGACAATTACTGACAAGTGTCCTGACTTGGGACAGGCATATAAAAATGTGGTTAGTTTTAACTAGCTTTTCTAGATTTCAACCACCCCTTTTGCATTTTGGACAGCATGATATATTTGTCAATAAAATGAGTTTTAAATGAAGAATTATATGATCCTTCAATGGTTGTAAAAAAACTATAGATCAATAGCACAAAAATTTCGAATAAAATTTGTTATTAATGAAAAAATCACAGATCTGATACGTCTTTTTGCATTATTTTCTATAAATAAACGAAAAAAAATGTCTGTCAAATTTGAAAATGACTATCTAGTCCTTTAGTATTTTGAAGATTGTTGCCAGTGGTCCTTGTTTCAATATTCATTATTTCATAAAATGCCAAGCCTCATTAAGTCACCTACCTGCCCATCAACTCCTTCCTCAGCACTCATTTTGGTAGCATCATTTATCATAGCTCTAATATCAATTATCTGTCCTGGCTGAAAAAATAAAAGTTTTTGCAATAATAAATAAAACTGAATTTAAAGATATAAGAATCTAAAACTAAATAATACATCTGTAAGGCATACATTACTTCTTCAAAAGATTTAAAAATAAATGCTAAGCATGAAATGTAGGTAATGAACCTGTTTTACAATAGATATATCTACACTTTTGGCTATTTAGCTAAATTTTGTCTCCAAATGACCTGAGATCCGTCTCAGAATAACCTTCTGATGTCTCATGCAACAATAACTTTTAAATTATGACATCTAATGATTTAAATTGTGATGCAATATTTGGCGGGAATGACATAGGCAAATCTATATATGTCCAATCATCATATTAAATCGTAATTTCAGTTACTGAATAAGAAGCATGGGTTGACAAGTTATTATTGCAAATCACTAAGATTGTACTTTTCTCTACAGCTTTCCTCAATGTGAAAAGTTGATATACTTCTACTGAACATAGGTTTAAAACCTATATTATTTCTAAATGCTGTCTATTTATCAATTCCTAATTTACAACCTGGTAATTAATCAAGAAAAGCATATCAGTGAAATAAAGCATACTTTATTCAATCTCTTGTTAGGTTCTTCCACCACCCGACTTTCTGAATTGTTATTACTTCCTTGAACTGTTAACCCTTGTAAGGTCAAACCAAGGTCACCATTTGTCAGCGTAGCACCATTCACCTACACAACATATAACTACACACATTCATATATTTTTATACAAAAAATAATTAGAGATTAGAAAATGGTATACATTAATAGAATAGAGTGATACAAGTTCAATTTTCTTTTAAATCATAGTATTATCAACAGTCATTTTGCAAATTGTCAAGTTCAATACTGACTCAAACAAATGGAAACATCTACATGTATAAAAAGATCTGACAAAAATTATAGAACATTGTGCTAATCTAACCTATTCCAACATTCCTACGGAGAGGATCTATCCATCTGATACCCCTGTATTACGAAATGACTTCTATCAAATGATTTTGTTTTACTTTACCATTTTGTCTGATTTGCTTTGTTCTGGACCATTAGGTCGTCTTGTAGAGGATTGAACTTGTCTCTGTCTACCAGTTCCAGACTTAGGTCTTCCTGATTGCTGAGGTGGACTTGGAGGTCGACCATTCTGTGGAATTCTGGGTAGTGATGGAGTTAAAGATGCTGAATTTTTACTGAAACGATAAAATTATATATGTAAGCTTTTGAATACAGATAAGATAGTCTTTAAGTTTCATTTTTCTTCTAAAGAATTATTAAGAGTGATTACTTTCTAACAGAATAAAAATCTGTATAAAAATTTTAAATACAAATCAGGCTACGGAATTTTTTGGTCAATTTCTACAATGCTGGGGCTTTTTTTATGTCAACAAACAGAAATAACATGTACAGACAATTCAAAGATAAATGTTTATCTTATTATCAATTACAATATACAATGCATAACAGTTCTACTGATATGCTCTTTTGAACAACACAAAATGCATGATGCGTTAACATGAATTATGAATGAAATACTAGTTTAACAAAATGCATACTGCAGATGCCAAACAAAACATGTACAATGATGCAAGGAACAATCTTGCTTTGCATGCAATGAATCTGCTAATCATGTGTGTGTACATCAAGTTCAAATATATACAGTTTGTAGAATGATCCCAAAATATATGTCCATCACCAAATAAATCAGTTCTACCTACCATGCGGACAGGGACAATGACCTTATTCTTAAAATAATAAAGATATATATTTATATGTATTTATAACTCTCACCATGTCAGCAAACATCTAAATTTTAGTCCTATTCAAACTGCTCAATGTTAACTTTTAAAAATCATAATTAGAGTAACATGAAACTTGCACACTAAAAACTCATCAGTTTTTCCAGGATTTTCATAAAATAAAAAAAATTTAAAACATTCATCCATATTGAAATGTCTTCAATTTTTCTTCTTTTCTCAACATTACAGTAAATACTAGAAACTATCAAGTAAAAAGGGTGCCAACTGCCAAGCATTTAACTAGTTCAAGTATTAAATTGTGGTCATGATGACCAAGAATTTTTAAAAACTCAGAATCGGGAAAAGGGTACAAATGTCATTGATATAGTATCTCAGACTTCTAAAATATGTAACGAAACGTGAAACAGAAAAAAATTTGCAAAAAATGTAGGTCAAAATTTCCCAAACCTCAACTTGATACAACAAGAATTTGTTTGCATTGTTGAGCTATTTTAGCACACTGCCCACTGGTAATCCAAGGTATCAGAAAACAGAAAGTAGGTAACTGACAGATCAGAAAGATCACTGCTGTCAGTAATCTGACCAAATATAATGTTCAGTAGTTCCTGAGAAAAAGTGTGACAAAAATATTTGTTTTCATTCAACTTTTAGAAAATTTAGAAGTATGGTCAAACAGGAAGTAGGTGTCTGACAGATTTGAAAAGTGCTCCTACATAAAAACTCATTACTGAAAAGCAACTGACCATATATGAAGTAATTTTGTTGAATAATTCGTGAGAAAAGTGTGACGAAAATAAACCAGAAACCAGGAAACTAATTTAATGATTGCAAAACTAGAGGCTCTAAAGAGCCTGTGTCGCTCACCTTGGTCTATGTGCATATTCAACAAAGGACGCTCTCCAAAACTAGACGAGAATAGAATTCATGACAAAAATCTGTTTTGTTGATCATGTATTGCTGATCATTTAGTCTGTTTAGTGTCCCTCTATCTTCTTTATTTTCTGCTCATTTAAGTGCAATCACTCCTATAAATAGTGAGTCTACTAACTATATCAGCAAAAGTTGACTTGTTAGTAGATCTTGACTTGCTGATCATTTTTGTTTTTAAGTGTCTATTTATCTATTATAATCTTTAATCTTATATGGCAAAACACAAAAAAATTGGTGAAAATTGTTTTTAAAGGGCAATAACTCCAATAAGGAGTCATCGGGTGATTTCCTCCATGTTGTCTTAATAGTAGATCTTTTCTTGCTGATTATTTATGCTTATTTAAGTTTCTATCTATCTATTATAATTTTATAAGATATAAGGCAAAAATGCAAAAAATTGGTAAAAATCATCATCAAAGGGCAATAACTCTAATAAGGAGTCAACTGATGATTTCGACTTTGTAAACTTATTTGTTGAACTTCTCTTGCTGATCATTTTTGCAATTTAAAGTTTCTCTTAATCTATTATAGTTTTCAAGATAGTAGGCAAAAATGAAAAAAAAAATGGTAAAATTTGTCATTTAAGGGCAATAACTCCTATAAGAAGTCGTCTGACAGTTTTGACATATATGAACAATCGGTAGAGCTCAACATTCTAAACATTTTAGCCAAGTCAGAATTTCTCTATTTATAACAGTTTTCAAAATAATAGACAAAACTTGCATTTTACCCCTATGTTATATTTTTACCAATGACGGCCATCTTGGTTGGCAGGCAGGGTCATCGGACACATTTTTTTAAACTAGATACCCCAATGATAATTGTGGCCAAGTTTGGTTAAATCTGGCCCAGTAGTTTCGGAGAATTTTTGTTTCTGACGCACATCGGACGACGACGACGACGATGGACAACTGACGCCAAGTGATTAGAAAAGCTCACTTGGCCCATTGGGCCAGGTGAGCTAAAAACTAAATCAAAGTTTGACTTGACTTTATAAAACCGAATATTTGGCCTTTGATTATATGATATGACATGGCTATTGCTCATTGTCATATAATTTTAATATAACATTAATCAATAAGTGTATTAAAAAAGAGAAAAGATTTGAAGGACATTAATTATTAAACTTATTTGTTTAAAAAAAAAAATTACTATAAAAATCTGAGTGAATTTCAATTTTTTCTTAAATTCTGCAAGTGGATTCAATAAATTTGATATACTAGTGATACAATTAAGTAAAAGTTTCACTTATTTATGAAACAATGTATATATTGTTGCTGTTGTCCATAGTCACCCAAGAGTATAATAAATGTCACATTGACCTACTGTAAATTCAGAAATTATTGCGTGCATTTATTATTGCGATTTTGTCATTTTAGACTAAAATGCGATTTAAATTTTTGCGATATTGAGAAAAATCCTGCTTAATTTATATAAAAAATTTCAAAATGCGAGTTTAAATTATTGCGATTATAACCATGTCGCATTTTTCGCAATAATAAAAACATCGCAATAATTTCTGAATTTACAGTATGTCTTATAATATATATTATTGATTCCTTAATTGATGGCTGCTCAACATCCAGCAGCAATTATTACATGCATATTGAGGATGAAATCATTTTAATGATATATGAATATACCTTGCTTTGTACTAGACAAAGACTGATATGCTGAGTCAGATTTTAATGTACTAACTCACAAGGGTAGTTTGCAGGAAACCATCTCACCTTACCCTTCACAACATTTTATCTCCACGCCAACCAGTCTTAATTTTTATTTCTGAATTCAGCATGCTTGCCAGAAAGGCAGCAAAAAAAACCCACCCTCAAACATGACAAAATGTGGAACAAACCAATGGCAATCACTGAATTCCTGGCTCCTGACTTTGAAAGGCAGTTTAATGGAAATGAAAAAGGCAAATTTGAATTTTCACTGCTATTATCTGATATTATTTTGAAAGTATTTGCTTTATTACCATTGATTGTTGTGAAATGAGTCTAAAAAAAAAATTCCACACAGTGTTACATGAAAATTTTAGATGTAAGTCATATGTACCTTTATTAAGGTTGCATTGAGAAATATGTTTAATAGGTGTATGTGAAATAGACCTGAATACAAAATGTAACCAACCCAGAGAGCTATACTGACAGGCAATTGTAAATTTGTGAAAAATGCACAACAAAGGATATTCTGAATTTTTTTTCTGCAATATGTTCCCATTGACATGCACACTTAAATAAAAAGAAGCCATTTTCCATAACATGTCTACTATCATACACAAGCAACATGACATACAACAACTTTTATTTACTATTGACCCTCTTAACCTTCATAAAAAATGGGAGTTTTTCTCTCCAAATTTTAAATGAACTGATTTGTGGCAATCTTACTATGTCCCCAACACCTGTTTTTTTAACACATAATACGTACCGAGGTGATCTTACCCTAAACATGAAATCATATAAATATGGTACATATATAAATATAATGAAGAAACATTCTGTTTGATTAGTATTTTATTAGAATGACATACATTGCAACAATTTATGGATGTGATTCCATAATACCTCCATTGATTAGAAAGTACATGTACTTCAAAGCTAAAAAGGAAATTAAAATTCTCTTTAAGTTGTGTCTAAAATAAATTCCATAGTAGTTGAGGTTTATATTTTGTCTAATTTAATCTCATCAGAAAGTTGGTATTACCAAATTTAAATTAATATTATAAATTTTAAAATGAAACAGCACATATTTCTTGTATTTGTGTCAAACATCGTTAGCTTTTTTTTTTTCATTGTGGAGCATTCGTTTTGAATTTTGTCATTTCAGCTTCAAAAAAGAGATATTCCTCAGCAGTTATTTCAAAAATATCATATTGAAGCAAATAACAACAATCATTACACATATCTGGCTTTTGAAAACAGCACAAAAATAATTCAAAAATTAGTTCAGGGATCAAAGCAGGTTTATTGGATCTTTTGCAAAATATAGAAGAGGGCATTACATATGTGACATTGCTCAAACGAGTGAATAAAACATTTTTCTCAAAAACGAAAATGTAAATAACTTTAAAAAATGTTTTAACATTTGCAAACTATCCCAAAACGAGTGCTGCATAAACACAAATACCTACCGAGGGGATGATCTAGAACGAAAACTATGTTCCCTCATGCTGAACAAAAATAAAAACAAGTCAAATTTGCATGATAATAATTTTTTTTGTTATTCAATCACATCTAGATGTTTAATGTATTCTACATGTTTAGCTAATCAATGAGAGTTGTTTCCCTTGTGAATCATTTCACAAGAGTAATTTCCCTTGTACTAGTACACCATTTCAACAAGTTATTTCCATGTTAATTATATCAACACAAAGCAATTTCAGCTAATCTTCAACAAAATAACCATTATTCAGAATCAAGTCAATAAACAGGGAATTAGATTAACAGGTCAAAATATAACAGACTCTTTCAAAATAATATCAGATATGTTCAGTTTAGGGTGTACAAAGATGAAACTCCGATTTACAACAAATTTCTGATTGTTTTGGAGAAAGTGAATTAATTAACAGGAAAATTACTGCACTGAAGATATGTTACAAATTTATATTAATAACTAAATGATGTGTAAACAAATAAACAGGTGTCCTGTCTGGGATTAAGATCAACTAGCCAACTGACAAATGTAAGTCATGGTGATTGGTCCAAATGACAAATGTAACTCATGGTGATTGGTCCAAATGACAAATGTAATTCCTGGTAATTGGTCCAAATGACAAATGTAATTCATGGTGATTGGTCCAAATGATTAACAACTGTGCTTTAAAATGTAATAAGGATGCTTTGGCAGACAATCACTAATAATGCAAATGTTATATGAATATCATATACAATGTAAATGTAAAATATAAATATAAGAAGAATGTGTCCCAGGGACACAGATGCCCCCGCTTGTAAATATGCAAGAGTCAATGTACTAATTCTAATCTATTGACATTTTGATTTCTTTGAAACATAATGACATCTGTTTCTGTATGATGATTGCACAAACAGTAAATATTCAGCAATTTTTTCATTTAGGCATAACACAAGAACGGTGAAAGTGACACCACCCTAATTCCAACTTGATCTGTGTTTGGTGGTTATAAGCATTGTGTACAAGTTTCATAACATTTGGTCAAGGCAAAGTTAAGTAAGAGTATGGAAATGACATACTCGCCAAATTTTCATTTATAAAAGGGACATATCTCAAGAACAGTGAAAGTGACGCCACCCAAATTCAAACTTGATCTGTGTTGAATGGTAATAAGCATTGTGTACAAGTTTCATAACATTTGGTTGTGGCAAAGTAAAGTTAGAGTACGTGGAAACAGCAAATTTGCCAATTTTTCCATTTAAAACGAGACATAACTCAAGAACAGTGAAAGTGACGCCACCAAAATTCAAACTTGATCTGTGTTGAATGGTAATAAGCATTGTGTATAAGCAAGGATTTGTATAGTAAGTACTATACAAATCCTTGGTATAAGTTTCATAACATTTGATTAAGGCAAACTAAAGTCAGAGAATGGAAACCAATTTTGGGACGTATGTACCTACAGACAAACAAGGGTAAAACTTAATGCCCTCTTCGGCATAAAAAGAAAAAGTTGTTTAAGCTTATTTAAATAGTGTGAAACTTGTTTGTTTTTCATAACAGCAGTGGAATATCATTGATAAACTACAAAGGGAATCTAAGATAAGGACCAAAATGTAAACAAATTCAAATTTAAGCAGTTTTAATAAGGATCATGGTGACCCAAATATTATTTAATCTGTTTCCTGTGTAGGATGGTTTTAGTGGTGACATCATTAATACATGAATAAAATGGACTTTTGATTTGAATGACTTTAATACAATTTTGATATATAATTAATGCATGTATAGCCGCACAGTTTATATTGTTGTAAATGTACTATCTATGTAGGAGAATTACAGTGGTGATATCTGAGAAAAGAATACTAACAGACATACATCTGGACAGACACGGATCATCTATATATGTCTTTAACACATCGTTGGAGGGGCAAACACAGTTAGTTTACTCGGTTTTAGAAAACAGATCTATGGATGCACTCATCTATGAACATATACAATCATGCATATGAATGATAATATGTAAATTTAATATAGAATGTACATGTATTTTATGAAATACATGCATTCTCTCTCAAAAATCTATCTAGCATGGTACACAGAGCCTATGCATGTGTGTGAGATACTCACCCTAAACTTGAACGACATCGACTTAAACTTGCACTATAATATGTAAGTATAACTTGCTAATATAAATCTACACTTTATATCTAATAAAATAGTGTCTAATTGTGGATATCTTGAGCTTGCTGTCTAAACAGCAAATAAGAAATAATGGGCCACTCAAGTACAAATACAACAACCTTTCCGAAGTTATTCATCAAAGATATTCCATTGGATTTCAGCTTAAATATTAAAACAAGATCAGAACTGATTAAGTCTGTAGATCATTGTAAATAGGAGATAATATAAAGAAATGGACCCATCATAAATGTCAGCTAACTCTGTGGCTGATAAACAAATATTGAAGAGGATATGATAAATCCACTTTTTAGACCGTTGAAATTGAAAACCAAAGAGTATTATAAATCTATTATATAACTTCCCTCAAATTTTCATTATATATTGGTCTATCAAGATATCATCATTTTTATTTTTGAATTGTGTCTCCAACATTTGCTTTAGGGCTTCAAACTTCTTGCATTTAATGTAAAACACCCAAGAAAAGCCTCACTTTGAGATCTTGCAATCTGTATTTAGATATGAGCCTTATCTAATATTGTACCTTCATATATCTTATGCAAAAATGTTAGTATTTGTAAAATATCTATTTGGGTAAGGACTTGGCTCATAACTAATTTTGCCATAAACTATGGAGAAAAATGTCCACTTTATGTCAAATATGTCAATTTCAACATGTTTATGATATCATAGTGGCATCAGAACTAAAATATCTGTTTTATATGTCCAGATGATACCCTTTTCCTTCCTATATAGAAATAATAAAAATTTGAATGGATTGAAGAAGTTTTCGATTTTTAAAATTTCATGGAGCAGACGACAACTCCTTTGATTGAATCTGAACCAAGAATCTCTCTTGCCTAAAATATGAGTCACTGTGTACTGACAAATTTACATACTTCTATGATATGTAGTTGAAGTATTTTACAATTATTGGCTTATTCATGAATCAAATAATCTTTGACTTCATGAAGGGAGATAATTTTTACACAAATGTGTTAAATTAAGTGGAGATAAATTGTATATTTCTGCAAATCAACCAAAATTAAACTATTTTCTGAAATAGCAAGAAAACTTGGCTGTGTAACACAATTATGTCTTTTTTTATTTTCTGAAAGTATTTGATCTAAATAATTTCGTTCAAAATAGGTATCAATTATTTGTTTCTGTTTCAGTTGACAAAGAATGATTAACTCTAAGGAGTCTATATAAAATCATAAGTTTTGAACTCCATATTTCAAAAAAGCAAACAAATGGACTTATATTTGTTTTAAAGTGAACTAAGGAACTGTGTGTCAGAAAAATTTAAGAATTTTTTTTTTTCTATGAATTTTAGTGTCTACCACCCTAAGAGCTTAACAGATGTCTGATCAGGAAACTGGATTTTATTAAAGTAAGTATATAAACAGAAATAACTGAAATTCTGTACAGTGTTACTGTTAGTTGAATCATTTGAGTGTTTTATAACTTATAAATTAAACATGCAGGTTTGATAAGAGTTCAAAAATACATGAACAATTTCTGAGAGAAGATGGAAAGCAGATAAAACATAAATTTATAAGGGAAGATAAATGAACAAGATAGTAAAAAGAAAAGAAATAATACAAAGAGATGACATGAATACTCTCCTAGCAATGGACACATCTTATCTACATGATATATTGTGCTTTGTGTGTCAAGGGGATTAACAATAGTTGTCCAATTATATCATCAAAGAATTTAGCCAAAATATGGTCCATGACCACTAATCATGAAAATATCAAAATTCTTCCTAAAAATGTATGAAATAAATCGAAAAATAAAGAGGAAAAAGAATTCAACATGTCACCTCCTTGCAAGACCACTATGATATGAATGTCTAGTAGGGTATTAGGTTCATGTCTAGTAGACCACTATGATATGAAAGTCTAGACGACCAATATGATATGAATGATGCAATGTATGAAGTGTTTATTACCTGTTAGTTCTGGATATACTAGATTTCTGTGGGGCTCCTCTTCTATCACCAGCTAAAACAACACAAAAATGGATTTAATATAAATATATGTTTTTTTACAATCTAAACTTCATGTTTTATCATATATTTTGTTACTATGACATCTTTTATTATATAAAATACAATGTCATCTTTTATTATATAAAGAAAAAAAATGTTTTTCTGTTACAAATCACAATGTATTGTTTTGTATGTACATGTCATGCTGCCCATCAAGGGCCCTATTCTTCTTCTATATATTATTACAATGTCATCTTTTATTACATATTATTACAATGTCATCTGATGGATGCAACAGAAAGACCATTTCAAGCATTTACATTTTCGATTCCATGTAAATTAAATAGAACTTCATATTTTTTTTATTTTTATTTTTTCTCTTTTTTCCATGGCATTGTGAGTTTGAATATCCCTTTGGTATCTTTCTTCTCTCTTTTATATCCATTTATTATAAAATAAAAATTGCTTTAATATATAAAAAGACAAACAAATGTCTCTTAAAATTCAGATACTGTGGACACCTATATTTTAGACAAAAAGTTTGTTGATTGAAAAAATAATGTATATTAGTAGAAACTTGATTCTGTGATTTAGATAAATTCTGCATATATTTTTTTGAACACTTTACTTCTTGTGGTTAACCAATAATCAAGAAGCTCATAACAATTAGTACCTTCTGAATAGTATGGTAATGAATTCACAGTATGAACACAATTATGCATACTTAAAAGTCAGAAATAGAGTCCTGAATAATTTAGAATTCTTGTATTTGTAATCTAAAAAAAATTAATTTAATTTACTCTTTCTTCACTGTGACTAAAATCTTGATCAGTTTTTTCTTCACTAGAATTCTGCATTTCATTTCTAAATGATTTATGTCTTTAAAATTGTTCTTAAATTAACTTTATGGAATGTAAACTAAGTACAAACAAGAGGCTGTCAGAGTGACGGCAAACCGGATTTTCGTGCAGAGGTCGAACCCTGAACAGTTGAGCAAGTATGGACACAACATTTAAGCTTAAAACAGCTCTGAATTTGGATTGTGATTGAATATTTAAAATAGATTATTATCTAATTAATAATGAAAATGATATTTGCAAATCTGAACTCCCAAACAGGATCATGTAAAATTTAAACATTAACACACACAACAAAAATAAAATGCCACATAACAACTGTGACATCTACCTTAATAACACACATGACTTAAAAAAACATAGTTATAAAGAAATTTTTGACAACTAATGACTAAAATTAATTGAACAAAATCCATATACTTATATTATGATTACTGGTTTATGGAAACAAGCTTGAGTTATTTCCCTTTGAACAGAAACTAATAAAGCAAAAATAGTTCTCTAAAATTAGAAATGATCTAACCACTAAAAAATTAAATAGTTCTCTAAAATTAGATATGATGTAACACAATGTATATCTATTTTCAAATTATAATCAAATATAATTAATAGTTCCAAGTATTTTTTCTTTCATTTGTCACAAACTAATATAGATCTGCAACTTATCTATCATCTACACAATGTAATGTAATGAAATATATCCTTTATTAAAAATAGATTATCATCTAATTAAAAGAATTCACTTCATCCAAAAAAAATTATATATATAGCATTCAGAAAAATTAGTTTATACAGAATAACAAACAGACCTACCACAAAATTCTTCATACAATTTACCAAAGAAAAGAAAAAAAATCCAAAATGTCATTTATCATTAATACAATGTCTTTTAAAAATCTTTTAAAAAATGAGTTATTTCCCTTTGAACAGAAATCTAGTAATTAATAAGTATTTCATCAAAAATTTAATTCTTGGGAAAGGGCTATAACTCAACAACGAGAAAAGCTAAAACCTTGAAAATTGAACTTGACCTTCATTTAGTCACAGGAAACAACATATCTAAATTTGAAAAAATTTTGTCAAAGGGTTTTCATGTTAATGAACGGACACTGTTTGGCAGCCGCCCACCCGCCCGCTTGCCGTACATTCCCAAATCAATAATCAATTTTTACTTCGAAAATCCGGTTAAATATCCTATGTTTAAAAAAAGGGAAATAAGTTAATAAAATCACACATTGAGAGAAAAGTTTATGTGAATTATCTTTTAAACTTTTCTTGTTAAAACACCTTGGAATGTTTGATTGAATCTTAATAAAGGAACTTTAAATTTGCAATATTTATTTGTCATCTGATTCTGATTGTTAAAACCATGGCAAGAGACCAATAGCAGTGCTTCCAGCAACAACTAATCAAATTGTATCAGGAAATATGTAATACAATATGCTATTTACAACTTTCTTTTGGGGATGCTTCAGGATGCAAGAAAAATTAATTTTAATGATTTCAAGAGCAATGTCAATGGCACTTATGCCTTGCAAACAAAACAGTCACTAGATGTCTTTTGGTTATCTGTATTGTTCAGTTGCTGTCTCATAAACATATACTGTACATCACTGTGTATTTATACATATATTAAATGGTATGGTCTCTTGCAGTATGAATTATATCCTTCTCTGGTCATGTGTTAAAATGACTCTTATAGATTTAATATAAGACTTGGCAAAGTTCTATACATATTACCGGCATAAGTATTCACAAAGGTGTATGTGTAATGTTGAACACTTAGGAAACCTCTGGCCTCAATGATTTTCTTCTTAAATTTCATAACTGATCAAAAAATAATTCTGCATTTAATTGTAAGCTTAATTATTTCAAATCAGTATTAGATTTTAATTTGATATGGTGCTTATACATTTTCCTCTTCTTAATCATGCATAGGAAACTTATGATTTACAAATGTAAGACTCAGCTGTTTCAATGAACTGTAATAACATTTAGATTAGATCTGTATAATTCAGCCAACATAGTTAAAGTCCAACACTCATACAATTATGTATGTGTCTGTATATTACAAAGATCATATTTCACACCTGACCAAATCTTAGATCAAACATTTAAAATGACACATAATCTGTAGACTTAATATTCCAGTCACAGAAAGAAATGTCATGTACTGTTCAACAAGTACTCTTAGTATGACTGATATAAGTCAAGATTAAAACATAACCTAATGTAAAGCCACGTCAATTATTTCAATTTTATTTTTTATCCTAATAGTAGAATGACAAAGCTTGAATAACATGTTAATCAAAACTTTTGAAAAAATCAAGGAAAACTGTAATTCTTATATCTGACATTTGGAAACATAAATGCCATGATACCAGTCTGGAACATTTCTTCTCCCATAAAAGTGGATTTTTAATTAAGGCCAACAGTTTTAATAATTAAATATCTAACTGTGTTGTGATATATAACTAGTTCATTTTCTCCTCAATAGCAGAGGGTAAATAACAGTTCAAATAATCAGGGTCACAAATCATCCTAATAAACCTTCTCTAATCACTGTGACCAGTCATTGTTGTTGCTCTATGTTTTAAGAACCCATTGTAACATATATATTGATAGGTTAATGTTGAATTAGTACAGAACACACATTTTGTTACATTTGTAAACCTAATAAATGGTGCTTGCATAAAACAGTTAAAAGTATGGCAAACTCATTTACTGAATGGAAACTTGTTCAAAATGTAGCAGCAGATTAAAAATGCAACATGATATATAAACAAGTGACAAACATTTACAGATATTTTAGCCATTAGCCTTACTTATTTAGCCCTCACCCTCTATTTGTTCATATACTGTGATTAGGGTCAACACATAATGCATATGTGGAAATATTATAAAAATGTAGTTTAGCAAAAGTAAGGTCTATGAGTTGCCAAGAAAACTTTGGTGCAAAAAACATATTAAAGAAATGCAAAGGGTGGAAGCTGTTGAGAATTGACTACTCTGTTCTGTACATTTGCTACATACATGGTTTATGTACATATCATCTGTACATTTGCTCCATACATGGTCTATGTACATATATTATAAGTAAAGATTGTCATAAGAACTACAGTATACAAACTATTATTTCTACAAAGAAAAGATAAAATTTAATGTTCTTTATTTAACTACAGCTATCAAGTGGACAGGATTGACTTAGGTCTTACTTATGTCCTATACTGTACAGCAAGGTTCACTCTTCTATTTTAATTTAAGTGAATAACAAATTTTAGCAACAGTGACTCTAAGGTTGACACACAACTTTATGTTTAAGACACAGTACACCTCCAATATAAGTATTATATATATATCTAAGCCACTGCAGCTACATGTATGTAATTAGAGCTCCCACTAATTGGAGGATAGTTGTGATACACCACATTAATTTGACAGTTAGTTTAGATTACATGCTTTGATTTCACCCCTTACAATCTTGACCTCTTTCTTCTTTTTTCTTCTGCTTCCTCTCTGTGCAAATACATTAACTTTTGTAAAATTGTTTTATGTGTATTAAAAAAATTCTAAACACTGATCAATTAATTATGAAAGTCATGTGTCCACTGTCAATTGCATATGTACTGTTTGCAATGCTTCTATAAAAAAAAACTAGTAATTGACATATCATTTAGAAAAAATACCACCTCCTCATGATAAATACATGTTGGTCAACAAACCATAAAAATGAGGTACAGGTCAGGTGACCTCTGTCATATGAACATATACTCAACAATCTTTCCAAAGGCCAGATATAGTTGACCTTTTAACCCTATTACTTACAGAAACTAAAACATGTCATCACTAATATATCACAAAAAATTAGCATTGATTCTATCAAACAAATGGACCATGAAAGTGAGATAATGGACAGACTTATGCAAAAAATAAAATTCATACCACACAGTATCAGAATAAAGAATATATATCCTATCTTCTGAAATGTAATAGGCCTTATAGAAATATTTGCTGTCAATGTCTTCAGTAAGCAAACACATGTCTTGCTTTCAGCAATATTTGCCATATCCAAGAGAAAATCTAGTTTTTCTCCAATTGATAAACAGCATCTGTATGGCAAAACCATTTATATGTCAAATTATGGTCCCAGCAAAAAGGTAAACATTCAATCCCAACAGGATATAAATATACATGGGAAATAATGTCTTTCACTCTAAATAAAATGGAATTTTCTTATACTTGTGAAACACTTCAGTGAGGACTCTAATAAGAACCAATTATTTCCTGCAAATGAGTACAGCATTTAAGAAAAGTTTCAATGCTGCTTGAGAAATGAGATTATATTAAAACAATGTTATGCTAGAGTAAAAATGTTTTGCATATTTGTGAAAATGTCACTGTTCAAAAAGTAACTTCAATTACTAAATGGTAAAAGTAGTGTCGTGCTATAAGCATTGAGTTTGACTGGTGCATTGTGAAGAGTTTATGAACAATTTGGCTAGAGATCAAATTTTACATGTAGTAGTGGTTCATTACAATGTTCCTAAGCTGTATAATTTCATTCAAATCTTGGTCCTCATAACACAAAAATAATATCCAACTTTAAAGTTGAAACATGGTCAAGGTAAAATATGGAGTCCAACAAACAAGTCAATTAAGTCTCATTCTTCACGATTAACCACAAGCCTACAGCCCTGGCCAGTAAAATTATCATGGAAAGAGGCATCAAAGACAATATCAATTTATAGAACTCTTGTAAAAAAAATGTCATGAAGACTAAAGTCTATCATATATTATTTGAATATGGAAATCAAATACAATCAAACTGGACCTCAAAGAGCACTAGATACATGTGTATAGTCTTAAATTGACTTATATTTCTTGATGGTAAAACAAAAATACAAAAGTGACCATATTAACAAATAAATAACTCAAATGTTAAAAATAAACAACAATCACCCAACTGGCAGCACAGCAAACAGAAGTATTATATTGTATATACCTGGATAGCCTGTTATAGAAAATATAACTAACAATATTAATATGTAATACAGTGTATAATGTTATAGTACCGGTAGTTATCTGTTGTTCACATGAATCATGTTAAGTATTCTACACTACTATGCTCAGTAAATCCTGAATTATTCACATGCATACAAAAATCATGGATTTCCCCTTCTTACAACAAGAAAACTACAAAATCTATTCATCAATTTTCTTGCAAGAGGTATTTACTACTTAGATTTTTTAATAATCAAAAACCTGATGACTAATGAAGACAAATTTAAAGTCTTCAAAAGAACTCTGTTTAATCTATGATAAAGTTATTTAAATCAAGCTTTTTCACATTAGCCATTTGCCCTCAAGGTGTAATACCACAAATCATAGTACGTCACATCCAGTTGCATACGAAAAAGGGTTGAAAAAAAATATTCCCTACAATTTGACAGTTGTAGGAAATTAATCCTACATTTCATTGCAGTTAAAAATTTCTGAGTCATAAACATATATCTTGGGTGTTTGAAAGCACCATTCTTTTTTTATTTGGTGTTTCTTTAAAATAATTTGGAAACTAGAGGTTACATAGTTACTAAAGCTTGTAAACATGAAAAAAAGGGTGAAATTTGATTGGGTAACTTCAAGTGATGGTTATTTTCTTATATGCAATGAAATGTTATGTGAAATTTTGTCTGTAGTACTGGACAGGATAAAACTTTACTCATGCCAAGTATTTCTTGATAAATTCTGCACAATTTTTTGAAAATTGCAAATTTATTTTTAGCATCTTCTGAATGTAAGAAAATCTTTTTCCGTTCAGGCTGTTCCAAATTGAGGCAATCACATTAATGAATGTGGGAGGTTGCATTTCCCTTAGAATTTTTTAAATATTATAAGAAAATGAAAATTTTAATTGTATGGCTAGTTGGTGTCTAAAAATTTTTTTTTCTTAATTCTGGAACAGCCCTAAAATGTTGGGGATTTTAATGCATTGAAAAGTATATATCTTCTTTCTTTCCGCATGTTCCCTTTGTTCATGAATTAAAAATTCATAAAGGGGACTATAAGGGCAGATGGGTACACAAAACAGGCTATTTTGGGATATGCAGTGGGACACTGCATACTCATTTCTTTTATTAGAAACAAAAATATGATACTGTATATAAAAATATACAAAATAATTAGTTTTATCCAAAAATATTTATAAATCTTTACTGAAAAAATGATTTGTTACTAAGATTGCTTTTCCATATTTAAAGGTCATTCAAATGGGTGCTACCATATATATGTAGGACTCCAAAGTGCAATGGGGACGCTAAAGTACGTTGGTCACGCTAAAGTGTGATGCCTCCATATGCTGAAGTCCAAAGGTCCGCGAAAGTATAGACTAAGAAACGTAGATGGATTATGACGTAAACAGTCGTTTATACAACCCAAAAATGAACATGCCGGAAGATAAATTAAGAATATTTGATTTTAAAACAACTTTTAAACCATGACTAATGTCCATGACTTAATTTTAGACCTAGCCATGCTTTTTCGGCTGAAGCAAATGTGTTTTTTTCTCTCGGGTGCTGGAAGAAGGACTTGTCTCCTGCAGTCAACCATTTTACTATATAGATACAAAATAGTAACAAGTCTAAATTGAAAACAATGTTCAAACCTATGATTGTGTTGGATCATAGATGTAACACAATGGATCTTAATTATTAATTTAATACCAAACAGAAAACAATAAACTTGCGGAAAAGATGGTATAACGCAAACATGAGGTGCAAAAATTTGTACACCATATCCGGATTTCGACAATTAATGTCTCTTCAGTGATGTTAGGGATCGAAACGGTATTTGGAAGGCCATATAATTTACCTCAATTTAGGATAGACTCTTGAATTTTAAAGAGTCGAAAGGGGATGAACGGATCATATAAACCCGAAGGAAAATATAATATAAGCCCAAACAGAAAAAAATAAACAAGTCTAAATTGAAAACAACGTTCAAACCTATGATTGCGTTGGATAAAAACCACAATTTTTATACGTGTACATGTAAAACAAATTTCTTGGTAGAGGGGTCTAAATACAGCACAAACAACATTTTCCAAAAGACCAAAATAGCGAAAAAGTATATTTTAACAAAACGCATTTGACTAACAGGTCGAACAACGGATGTTCTTAAAACCTGCTGACTGCCATTGGCGATTGCCAAATAAATTGATCACCAGTACAAAATGGATCTTAATATTAATTTAATACCAAACAGAAAACAATAAACTTGTGGAAAAGATGGTATACCACAAACATGAGGTGCAAAAATTTGTACAACATATCCGGATTTCGACAATTAATGTCTCTTCAGTGATATTAGAGATCGAAACGGTATTTGGAAGGCCATACAAAATAGTGTACGCATAGGTATCCTGTCTCCTGTTTCCATTAGAAGCGAAAGGATACATTTAAATCATGGTTTACATTGAAGTTTACTTTGCCGTCCCCGTTAATATACTTTCGATTTTATTGAAAAGTAACGTTTGTAAAATAAAGGTACATGTTTTCAATTATAAATTTTCGGCTGAAACATTAGTTTGTACATTGTAGGTAAATATAAGATGTATTTGTACTCGTTTCGAAAAAGGAGAAAAAAGCTCAGCGAATATCACCTTTCTCTCGCATTGATATGAAAGCTTGTACTAATAAATGTTATTTATTCTGACAATGAACGAATTTTGTATTTGTAATTTACAATGACGACTGTAAGGAGAGGTGTTCACATTATTGATAGACTGTGTGAACGGCAAGATTCGCCAATTATTCAAATACTAAATACGCCCCAATTATTACATTTACAGGAAATATAGTTTGTGACCCCCTATATTACCTTTTTAGCAATTATAACGTGGACAGTCTTCTAGATTTAGAAACAACCACTTAAGCCTACCGGTAAATTATAAAGTCTATCACATATGTTATACCTAAATTAGCCTACTAGCATTTGCAAAAAGACTATTTTTTAACATCCATGTACCCTAACGTTTTAAGCCCTCGAACCTTACTCTAATGGTCCATCGCACTTTAGCGTGATCATCGCACTTTAACAAACAACCAACCATCGCACTTAAGCATGAGACACCATCGTACTTTAGCGTAGACCATCGCATTTTAGCGTGATGATCATAGCACTTTAGAGTCCTATATATATCAAAAATGAAACCAAGCCAATATTAAAAGCAAATATAAAATTCTCCTTTGGCTAATGCTTATTCATTTCAAGCAAAGGTCTGATCATAAATATTAGACAAAGCAGGGAATTACATGTAACTTAAAAAACAAAACTTCTTTTAGAAAATTTATGAGATTCCACACCAACCATGCATGTCAGCAATAACTACAGCCTTTACATTAGATCAAATGTTTCTTACCACTTGATGTCAGTTTCTTGGTTATTTTTGGATACTTGGCAAACTTGACATAGTAATAAGACTCATATTCCATAATAATGGTCTCCAGATCAATGTTGTCACACACTTCATATTTGTTGACGTCTAAATTTGTTTCTCTTCCTAAGGCTTGTGCTGCTTCCACATATCTGGAAAAATATCCCTTAATTTTAATACAGCTATTATGCAAAATTACATTTTTTTTTACCTTTTTAATGTCTCTTTTAGTTAACATTGCCCCAAAATATTAATCAGACTTCACAAACTTTTAACATGGAGGGTCATCCTACAAATATGTTGTGATTATTGCAAGTGGTAACATGCATTTATTTTGTTGCAATATATATATATAAACACATTTTTTCTAGAAAGGTGTGAAATTGAGACTGTTTGTTGATTTTGAACATTTATTTTATATAATGATCATTGCCATTCACTCCAAGTCTACTTTCTTTCACAAGTACAAATGCATATCTTTATTCATGAATAAAGTTTAGAAAATTTTACTGAATACTATTAAAACATTTGAATAAACATACCCTTCTTCATACATATAATTTAGAACCAGGATCAACAGATTCTTCTTCCTGGTATCTGTTCTTAACTCATCCTGAAAGCATGTGAAAGTATAACGTTTTATGTCATTTCCTAAATATTAATTATTAATTAACATTTCAGATCTATATGAATATGTACATGTACAGTGTCATTCTAATATGCATATTGTTATTGCGAACCCAATGAAAGTTTTCCACAGTGCCATCTCTATCTTGACCAGGTATTTAAACTTTTGCAAGTTCACCTGTCCTATTGAAGGAATACAATAGCTATTTTTCTCTGTGTAGTTTATTCACTGGGACCTTTAAATTTCTTCTAAGAGAAATCTATCATTCATTGATTAAATTACCTGTGTAAAAAAAAATTCTTATATAGAGACAAAAATACTTTTTTTATACTCATTAATTGCGTGTGCTGATGTATTTATTCAATATTAATAATATATTTTCATTCAGTTTAATATAAACATTGATTCAATCATAAAAAGTTGATTTCTAACAAAAGTTTTATCAATGTTCCTATTGAAATTTGATTTTTTTCTTGTTTAGTTATAGAATACATTTATTGCGAACCCAATGAAAGTTTTCCACAGTGCCATCTCTATCTTGACCAGGTATTTAAACTTTTGCAAGTTCACCTGTCCTATTGAATGAATACAATAGCTATTTTTCTCTGTGTAGTTTATTCACTGGGACCTTTAAATTTCTTCTAAGAGAAATCTATCACTCATTGATTAATTTACCTGAGTAAAAAAATTTCTTATATATAGACAAAAATACTTTTTTATACTCATTAACTGAGTGTGATGATGTATTTATTCAATATTAATAATATATTTTCATTCAGTTTAATATAAACATTGATTCAATCATAAAAAGTTGATTTCAAACAAAAGTTTTATCAATGTTCCTATTGAAATTTGATTTTTTTTTGTCTAGTAATAGAATACATTTAATAAAATACTGTAAACCAACTTATTTTCACAGATAGTTATTCATGTTAACTTATCCCTTTTATTTCTATAAATCTATGTCTGAGAGGATTATTTATTTTGACATTTTTCACAAACCTTTAAGCTTGATTAGAATAAATGTACATTGAAGTACAGTCTAAATGGATAATAAGAGTAAATATTAGCATTGTCACTTTCATAGTTTTTTTGGTCCAACACAAAAAAAATAATTTGAAAGTCACAAATTTCCATAGGAACATAGCAAAATTTAATGTCAAAACATTGGAACAAAATTATGAAAAGCTGTAGACAATTTAGTAAAAATTGGTAAATAATGCAAATAAAGTAAATCAGTTTATTATGGCTAATATTGCAAATAGCCAATGCAGACAACTTACCCTAATACATTCTAGAAGCCTACTAAATTATTAGATATTGAATAAATCAACATCACATATAGTTTTGTGTGTCCTTATTTAGTATTGGTACATGTATTTTTATCATTGAGAGTTAATTTTTTTGTTCAGGTAAATTAATCAATGAGTGATAGATTTCTCTTGAAGAAATTTAAAGGTCCCAGTGAATAAACTACACAGAGAAAAATAGCTATTGTATTCATTCAATAGGACAGGTGAACTTGCAAAAGTTTAAATACCTGGTCAAGATAGAGATGGCACTGTGGAAAACTTTCATTGGGTTCGCAATAAGAAGATCTTAATTTGAAACATCATTATTTTCAAGTTCTTATTCATGTCAAACAAATATTTTTTTAAAAGGAACAATGTTGAAAGTTTTGTCAGAAATCAAATTTTTATGATTGAATCAATGTTTATATTAAACTGAATGAAAATATATTATTAATATTGAATAACTACATCATCACACGCAGTTAATGAGTATAAAAACAGTATTTTTGTCTATATATAAGAAATTTTTTTTACTCAGGTAATTTAATCAATGAATGATAGATTTCTCTTAGAAGAAATTTAAAGGTCCCAGAGAATAAACTACACAGAGAACAATAGCTATTGTATCTATTCAATAGGACAGGTGAACTTGCAAAAGTTTAAATACCTGGTCAAGTTAGAGATGGCACTGTGGAAAACTTTCATTGGGTTCGCAATAAAGCTACATATATTCCATTCAGTACCTTTAAAATCAAGCAGTCAAATGCATGAAAGAAACCAATATGTACAAAATAATTACAGAAGAACATAGTAAGATCATAAATGCAAGCAGTACTTACTACATGTATATGTATTCTTACGTTGCTTCTTTAATGTACTAAAATTGAAATATTCTACAGAAAGTAATAATTTAACATCTTATGCCTTAAATAAAATGCTCCGCAGGGCGCAGCTTGATACGACCGCAGAGGTCGAACCCTGAACAGTTGGGGCAAGTATGGACACAACATTCAAGCTTGATACAGCTCTGAATTTGGATTGTGATTAAATATTTGACACAGCATAGGTTTCTGACACAGAATGAATGTGGTCTAAGAACTTAAAAATTGGACATTCACCTATTATGGTACAATATCCAAAATCTAAATACATGGTTAGATTCAGCATATCAAAGAACCCCAAGAATTCAATTTTTGATGAAATCAAACAAAGTTTAATTTTGGACCCTTTTGACCTCAATGTGGACAAAGTTGATAACGGGGCCCAAAAATCTAAATACATGGTTAGATTCAGCATATCAAAGAACCCCATATATTCAATTTTTGTTGAAATCAAACAAAGTTTAATTTTGGACCCCGATTTGGACCAACTTGAAAACTGGGCCCATAATCAAAAATCTAAATACATGTTTAGATTCAGCATATCAAAGAACACTAAAAATTCAATTTTTGTTAAAATCAAACTAAGTTTAATTTTGGACCCTTTGGACCTTAATGTAGACCAATTTGAAAATGGAACCAAAAATTAAGAATCTAAATACACGGTTAGATTCGGCATATCAAAGAACCCCAATAATTCAATTTTTGATGAAATCAAACAAAGTTAAATTTTGGACCCTTTGGACCTCAATGTGGACCAATTTAAAAACGGGGCCCAAAATCCAAAAGCTTAATACACGGTTATATTCAGCATATTAAAGAACCCCAAGAATCCAAGAATAAAACCCCATTGAAATTGATCAAGAAATAAGCAATTTATAAGAAGTATCTTCTTTTGCACAATACTGTGCAATTGAATATTTCTTGCTATTGCGCAATACTGTACAATTGACAATTTCTTGCTATTGCGCAATATTGTGCTATTGGATATTTCTTGCTATTGCGCAATACTGTGCAATTGAAGATTTCTTGCTATTGCGCAATACTGTGCAATTGAAGATTTCTTGCTATTGTGCAATACTGTGCAATTGAAAATTTCTTGCTATTGCACAATACTTATTATATAAAAATTTACACATCCTTTTTGATGTGTATCTCCTACCATATCATTATTATTTGCTTTTAAATATAAATCAGAAATAACCAACTTAAAATGGAAAATTTTAAAAGAAAAAAAAAAGGAAAAAAAGAAAGAAAAAAGAAAAGAAAAAAATCCCCCCCCCCAAAATTTTTTGAACCCCCTTATGATTCATCACCCCCAAACTCAATCCCAGCCTTCCCTTTGTGGTATGGTACCTTGCAGTACAATTTCAGAGAGATCCATACACTTGAACACAAGTTATTGTCTTGAAACTAGAAAAATGCTTATTTTTGGCCCCTTTTTGGCCCCCAATTCCTAAACGTTTCAGGCAATTACCCCCGAACTCAATTCCAGCTTTCCCTTTGTGATATGAAACCTTGTAGTACAATTTCAGAAATATCCAAACACTTACACACAAGTTATTGTCATGAAACTAGAAAAATGCTTGTTTTTTGCCCCTTTTTTGGCCCCTAATTCCTAAAATTTTGAGGCAATTACCCCCAAAATCAATTACAGCCTTCCCTTTGTGATATGGAACCTTGTTGTACAATGTCAGAGAGATCCATACACTTACACACAAGTTATTGTCTGAAAGTTACAAAAATGCTTATTTTTGGCCCCTTTTTGGCCCCTAATTCCTTAACTGTTGGTACCATAACCCCCAAAATCAATCCCAACCTTCCTTTCGTGGTATTGAACCTTATGGTAAAATTTAATGAAGATCAATTCACTTAAACTAAAGTTAGAGTGCGAAAACCAATGTGTCTTCGGACGACGACGCCAACGACGCCAACGTCATACCAATATACGACCAAAAAATTTTTAATTTTTGCGGTCGTATAAAAAGGGCAGTGTGTGAAAAAAGTCTAATAAAACAAAAACTTTAAAGAGTACTTACACATACATGTACATCGTACATGTACATGTACAGGAGTGTTGTTTGGTGAACATAGTATGGAGACCTGTAGTTGTAAACTTATGCGTTAGTTGGTCTCTGGTGGAGAGTTGTACATGTACAGGAGTGTTGTTTGGTGAACATAGTATGGAGACCTGTAGTTGTAAACTTATGTGTTAGTTGGTCTTTGGTGGAGAGTTGTCTCATTGGCAATCATACCACATCTCATGTATATAGTATTGTCCAACAATGAATGAATAATAGAAATTGAGTTTAATGTTTGCCATAAATGTAACATGTCGGTTGCCACTTGTAAAGAAGAAACTGCTTCTTGCTTACCTTTCCAGAACTGAATAGTGAGTTCTCACCTGGTTTTTGTAGGGTTTGTGTTTCTCTCAGGGGGAGGGGGAGCACTTAAATACTTAATTGATAAGGGTGCTGCTGGGGTTCTGTTACCCCACCCTTTTCATATAATTTAGATTTTAAAAATGTATACCTTTTCATATATTGCGTAGGCAAAAATGTAATCTTTTCCCATATTGGGATTGGTTTCATGAAATCGAGAAAATGTCACCTTGCTCGGAGCTCAGACTTTCTTTTTTGAAAAAATTACAGGGCTTTTCATACAACAAGTAATGGAAACTTTAATCTATTGACCTTATAATAATAATAATGTCTTTATTTAAAGAGGGTGACTCAATTAGCATTCACTAATCTACCTTGAGGCAGCTGCCTTGAGGCCCTCACAAAAAACATACAAAACAAGTACATGAAGTATT